CGAGAATTGCTATTTCCGCAGGGGGACAGGCTCTCTGGTACTTACCCTGTCCAACGAAGCTGGGTACCAGAGAGGGAAGCCTGGACTGATCATCCAGGTGTACCTGCACAAAAAAAGCTGGGCCCCTGAGCCAGCAAGATTAGCGAAACGTTTTCCAGATTTTCGAGGCAGGTGTTAGGTTTGATATTTGCAGTCAAGTTCTTTGCAGTCATGTTCATGAGGGCATGTGCACTGAAGCTGTTACATATATTGACCTCGATATCAAGAAGGTGGGACTGCAGAAAGCCTCCTCAGTTGCGTGTGGGGGCACCGCTGAGCATGTGCCCTCTCTGCATGAAATCACGAGCCAAGCAGAGGAAAGAACACACAGCATGGGGACCAGGGGCGGGTCAAAGATCTGGAAGCTCAACTCGCCCAGACGCTGGATGCTCCACTGGAAGGAATCATGTAGAGTTCAGCGGAGACACAGGATACGTCGACGCCACCCCGGCTGGAGATCCATTCCGTTTGAATAAGTTAAAGGTCTCGAGATCTGCCACACCAGGCTTTCGCGAAATAATAGCAATAGTAAAAATAGTAAAAGTAATAATAGTAACAATAATAATTATGTTTTGCACAATAATAATAGTAACAATAGTAATAATAATAGTAATAATAGCAATAATAATAGTAATGAAAGTAATAATACTCATGTTGTGCATAACTTCCACTTGCACGGTTCTGAGTTCTGGCCTTGCCAGACGATGTGGGGTGGTAGCCTCACGACAGGCAGCAGAGCGAGCCCGCCGCTGAGTGTATGTACATATGTGTATATGTATGCATGCATGCATGTATGCATGCACATATGTATGTATGTATGCATGTATGTATGAAGGTGTTGCATGTGTTGTAATGTTGTATGTAATGTATGCATGTATGCATGCAGGCATGTAGTGTATGTAATATTTGTACTGATGGGACGCCCTAAAGACCCCATATCTACATTGTTTTCTCAGGTTTTGTAAGGAAAATCATTTTTGAAATAGCAGGGTGGTCTAGCATGTGCAACTGTACGCAGCTCCAAACCAACTCGTATTCAAGCGTTCCATATGTTAAGTATTTTCCTTGCAAGTTTTTTTGCAGCATTCCTTCATAAGCATGAGAAGCCATGATGAGTAAGGAACATATTTACCCATGTCATGGGTTTGTAGAATATACCTTAGAAGCTGCCCCCACCCTGTAATAGTGGTATAATAGGAATATAATAGGGCCCTAATATAATCCTATATAATCCTTGTAGTCACTATTACAGGGTGGGGGCAGCTTCTAAAATATGCCCACATTGATTTCAGAAGATATGGTCTCGGTAGAACAGCACATATGATAGATTAGAGCTAAGTCTTTGTATGCGTGTGCATCGTATTTCATGTAACTATTCAAACTTAGATGGCATTGCTTATGGAACTTGCAAGTCAACATGTATGTAACCCTAATGCAAATCAACCCCACAGTCTAGGCGGCCTAATTTTGCAGAGCTTTAGTATTACGGCTCAGGACCAACTTGGCATATTCAGTTAATTATTTGAATGGTGTGGGAGTGCATGCTTATCATACAAATTACATGACCCATACCATACGCATCTCTTCATAGCTTCTACATGACAGCTTATGGATGAGTTACATCCTATCAAGATATGCGGAGGGCAGTATCTCCTGACTTCTGTTTTTAATGTAGGAAGGGTGTCTCTATGTCGCATAAAGCTCCCGATACCACATCACTGTTTAAACTCAAACACGGATCCTATGGTCAAGCCCCCGTTGCATGTGTCTTCCAGCCTTCCAGCGAATGTAGGGTCTCATAGAGATTTCTTCTGACGAGTCCCGTGTGAATTCAAGCGCCTGGTAACGAGGACTGATGCGGATAGTCTCATGACATATCATTTGGTGGGTATGTCCATTTACCTATGACTTTGTCATGTGGGTAAAACATTTCCTGGATTTGACGTCGCTTTCATGTCTATTGGCCTCTGAGAAGATACTGGGCAAGCTTCACTCCCCGTCCTATATATATACTCTCCGACATTAAAATGTTTGTCTGTCTTGAAGACCCCTTGAGTGTGAGTTCCTGCTGACCGCACTGCAACAGTGTGTAATACATCCAAATCTGCACGCCCGTGGTCTTCGATGGGGTTCCCAAGCACTCCTTCATAAGAAAAACATTGAGAAGCAGGTTTCTCAGCCGCGCCATATGGGAGTTTCCGAAAATAGGGGACCCTAATATAGTACCCCAAATAGTGGGATCCTTATTATAAGGATCCCAAAATAAGGTCCCCCAATTTTCGGAAACTCCCATATTCGTAGAAACCCAATACATACTGTATGAGATCTTGGGAGTCCACAGGTTTAATTTTGCTGATGCCTACCTTAACCTACAAGAACCTACTTTTTTGTAGGGTCCTTATTAATTCCATATAAAGGTCTATAATAAGAACCTACCAAAAAGTAGGGTTTGGTAGCTTAAGGTACGGTTTCTAAAACAAGTTTGGTATTTCGCGAACAGAAGTTTGTTTCTATATGCATTCGACTTGTATGGTCTGAGATTTAGAAACCCGGTAGGAGACTGCGGTCTAGAACAAAGCCATCAAACTTTGTCCAGTTCGCGTGCGGATTTTGTTGTAAAGCCCGTTATTTCGAGGATATATTTCCGCAAGTATTGTGCTTTAATTTTTGCATTGTATGTCTATATGGCTAGGACACAACCAAACCTCTTCCAAAAAGATAGACGGGGTGCGAGCTCGCTACCTGCCAACAGAAGTCTTGCCCCCTGGACAGCACACTTGGATGGATGTATACCGCAGCATCCACACTTTGCAAACTATAACAATATGTATTCCCCAACACTGTTTCCAGGTTTCTCACTGCCTCCCTGTAGGTAGTGCGAAACATATGCACACATAACTTCAGAACCGCATCACCAAACTCAATCTTTTTTTGTGGTTTTCGGCCCGTATATCTAGTATAGATACCTTGTGGAAGCTTGTTTATCGCCTTTTATCAGTTACAGTTCTCCGCGATCGGTATTGGAACGGGCATGATACAGCTTTTACCGTCAATGCATGTTAGCTGGAAACTCTGCACATACAACATATTTGGGACGATTGTTTCGCATATGGCACAGCAGTGCTTCGGAAAGTCTATTTGGTAGTGTGGCATCTGAAACCTGACTATGAACACCATTGGATAGATCTGTTTTGTTTACTTCCTTCAACGAATACCATTTGAGCTCGACATGCATGATGACTGTGCTGGAATGCGGCGCTGTCCATGTGATATGTGATATAGATGCATTCGGAAATCGATAAATGTTGAATATGCTGCCGTGATGGAAGCATGAGGTTTCCCGGTTTTGATGCCGGAACTGATTTCACATAGACAATGGTGGGTCAGACTGTAGTTGCTGATGAAGCTACATCCCCTACGTCATATTTAGCACTTAAATGAATCTGGATCTAGATGAGTAAATAGCACCGAAATTCAATTGTCAACTGCATGCACCGCGCGCGCATGCCGGAACGAATCTAAACCTAGAGTGGCTGAGGCTCCCCAAACTGGTGGCCTCCAGGCCTCACCTGGGGCCTGAGGGGGGGGGCAACAAAAAAAATGAACACACGACTTAAACTGACTAGGGCTGATGTTTTTTGTGACCCACGTGATCCCCCCCCCCCCCCCCCGGCCGTCTCTAGCTGCTGGCTGGAAGCTTCCCGCCCTAAGGCCCGAGCCATAGTCCTCCTCACGCTTTGAAAGTTTGATATTGCTTTGTTTTGCCTCATATTACATGTTTTATGTGTGTGTGTACATATTACAGTGTTTTTCGTACGAGCGAAGTCTTAAATCATTCAAAGGCGAAAGTTTAAGCGACAATGCATAAAGCATCGCAAAACATTGTGTGCGGAGAAACGGGGCTTCCACAGCGTCCCTTTCTGTTGTACTGCATGGAATGCATGTAATGTATGCAATGTGTGTTTTGGGTGTAATTCACGCAATGCTTGTACTGCATGTAATGCAGCAGAATGCCGTGTCATGTGATGTGATGTGGTGTAATGTGTGTTTGTGTGTGTTTGTTAAGCTCTTCTTGAGATCTTGATACGGAAAAGTCTGGAGAGTCCTCGCCGAACGGTGCAGGTTGGGCCAAGCAGGGCCCAAGAATTACCGGATATACTGACAAGACGGAGTGCAAGACTGTCGACTGATTCCCATGCATCGCAATTTGGGAGATCCAGTGGAATGCGCGCTTTTGCAAGCCACAGAAAAAGGCAAAAGCCTTTCGTGGATCGAAGGCTGCGGGCTGGATCTTTCGTTTCGCTAATCAACACCCTCAGGGTCCAAGTAGTCTTTGTTTATGGCTTTTGCCTAAGAAGCCCACAAAGTCCTATAATGGGGAGTGCTTGGACCCCCTCCGGGACGTGAGATGCTGGAGAATGCAAGGCCGGTGAGTGCCAGAAGTGCCAAACCCTGCCATTGCCCTTCTCACGTGGCAAAAAGCCCGACGCAGGGACTCGAAGCTTGTGCTTTCTTGGAAGTTTCAGCAAAGCAACTGCTGCTGTAGGTCGGCTTGTTGGATCATTTGTTGCTTGGTTGTTTTCTGGTACGAACGGTCAAGATTTAGTTTGGCTGCTTTGCCTTCTTTCCCCGGACAGCGAGAGCTTCGTGGTGTTCGGCCGAAGGATGGACTGGGGCAGGTCGGGGCAAGGTGCGGGCAGGTTCCCGGCTGGGAGGGTTTCGCGTGGTTTTCGAGTTCCGGACGGCTCGTGCGTGCGCGATCTGGGGGTGGGTTTCGGTCGAGTTCGCTTTTCGCACGTTTCGGGAAGGGTTCCGAACGGGTTCCGGGTGGTTTTCTCCAATATTACATACATTGCTTGGTGGAACACTGGGATCTGATCCCGTCCGGCTGGAATGCATGGTTCAAGTTTTGACAGAGAGGTCACACCACTGCGTTGCCGCTCCTTTTCCGGTTTCCCGGCATGGACACCGACAATGCATCAGTTTTCGCCAACTTACCCGTTCTGTTGGGACGGAACGCAGTGGACATCGAGACAGGCAAGGTTGAACTGGACGAGTTTTCGGGCGGTGATTCCCAAAAGGGGTTCCTGTCCGAGACGGTCCAGGCAGCTCGGGTTGCTTCGTGCTTGTCAGCGTCTTCCGAGTGCAGGGAGCAAGTGGTGTTGCTCCTGGGCGCCACCTTCGCCCTTGCCCAGGGTGTTACGGCTCCTGCCATTGCCCTCTTCACAGGGGCAAGCATCGCCACTTTGACTGCGGACACCGCGAAGGAGCACCTTCTCACAGCCATGGCGCCAGCTCTGACGAAAGTTGCGGTGCTGGCCGTCATCCAGTTCTGCTTCGCGTTCGCCTGGCAAACTTGTCTCGCCTGGGCTGCTGCCAAACAGGCGCACCGCTGGCACCGTCGCTTGTTGGAGGCATTCCTGTCCCGCGACATAGCCTGGTACGATGAGAACGAGCCGGCAGGAATGGCAAGCAAGCTTGAGGCGGATGTTGCGAACGTCTACGTCTTCATGTGCACCGCTCTCGGTTACCTGATTGCAAGCCTCGGGCAGACCGTGGCGGGCTTCTCTCTGGCGTTGTATCTTTGTCACAGTTGGGTGACGTTTTACATGTTTATGGGTATTTGGACCCAATAAAGACTGAAAAGGTACATGTTTACAATTACTACTACTACTACTACTCCTCCTCCTCCTCCTCCTGCTGCTGCTGCTGCTGCTGCTCCTGCTACTACTACTACTACTGCTGCTACTACTACTACTACTACTACTACTACTACTACTACTACTACTACTAGTACTACTACTGCTGCTAGTAGTAGCAGTAGTAGTAGTAGTAGTAGTAGTAGTAGTAGTAGTAGTAGTAGTAGTAGTAGCAGTAGCAGTAGCAGTAGTAGTCGTAGTGGTAGTAGTAGTAGTAGTAGTAGTAGTAGTAGTAGTAGTAGTAGTAGTAGTAGCAGTACTACTTCTTCTACTACTACTACTACTACTACTACTACTACTACTACTACTACTACTACTACTACTACTACTACTACTACTACCCCCATGAACTAGGTACAGTGGCTGGCAGCTGTCCCTGGTGGTTTGTGCAACCATCCCACTCCTGGTGTGTGCCGGCCACCGCATGGGCCGGGAGATCGAGCAGCAGCTGAGGTTTTTGTCAAGCAATTTTATTTGAATGTAACCATATAATAATAACATCACTAATAATAGTAGTAATAATAAGAATAGTAATAATAAACAAATATTAATAATAATAGTAATAATACTAATAAAAATCATAATCATAATCATAATAATACCAATAATAATAGGGATCTAGAGTAAATAATATGCTTTCCCCATTATGGTAACTTACAGTAGATCTCTTAGCAAGAACCCAGGCAGACGTCCAAGCAGGCGGCAGACTTCGCTCGAGCCTCTGCTGTGGCGGAGGAATCGCTGATGGCGATCCGCACCGTGGCGGCTTTCGGCGGCGAGTCTGTGCAGTCTGCCCGCTTTGGAAAAGAGCTGCTCTCAGCGAAGGAGGGCGGCATCCGATCCGGATGGCGGATTGGCGCTGCATGGGGCGGCTTGAACTTCTTCTACTCCTGCCTCTACGCGCTGGCCCTCTGGTTCGGTGGTCACGTCCTCATGGAGAAGAAGGGCTTCCAGGCCGACGACATCGTGATCGTCATGATCGCCATGATGGTCGGCAGCTCGGGTCTCAGTGCCTTCAGCGGCTATGCGCCGGTGATGGCGCGAGCCGTCGTGTCCTTCAAGGCCATGAAGGCTCTCATGAAGTCAAAAAGCACGGCACAGGAGGCCATCGAGCCGCCGCTGTACACCGAAAGGGGCTCTCAGGCGATGCCCGAGGAAGTTTGCGTGATTGACAAGATCGAGTTCCGAGATGTGAGCTTCAGGTACCCCACGAGGCCCGAGACGTGGGCGCTGGAGAACTTCAGCTTCCGGGTGGAGAAGGGCCAGAAGATCGCATTCGCGGGTGAGAGTGGGAGCGGCAAGAGCACGGTGCTGCAATTGTTGGAGCGCTTCTACGACCCCTGCGCTGGAGAAATTTCGGTGAACGGGGTTCCGTTGAAGGAGATTCCGGTGAAGGCCTGGCGCAAGCAGATCGGCTATGTTGGTCAGGAGCCCGTTTTGTTCGCCAGCAGCGCCATGCGCAACATCAAGGCCGGGGACGACTCCATCAGCGACGAGGCTGCAATGAAGGCGGCTGAGGCGGCGCAGATCTACGAAATTCTTCGGCAGCTCCCCGAGGGCTTCGACACCTTCGTCGGCGCAGCTGGCGGGATGCTGTCGGGAGGACAGCGGCAGCGAGTGGCCATCGCCAGGGCCCTGGCCAAGAATCCGCAGATCCTGATCCTCGACGAGGCAACTTCGGCTCTGGACAGCGAGTCCGAGCGGCTGGTGCAAGCCACCCTGGACAGCGTCACCGCCGGACACTTCGACTTCACCACGATCTCCATTGCCCACAGGCTGGTGACGATCAAGGGCTCCGACGTCATCTACGTGCTTCGGGACGGGCATTGCTGCGAGCAGGGCAGCCACGAGGAGCTCATGGAGCAGATGGGCGTCTACTACAGCATGGCCACCCTGCAGGCAAAGGCGAAGGCAGAGACGGAGGAGAAGCATCAAGACGAGGAGACCGAGGAGGACGAGGACGCAAGTCCGGGGAGCACGGCGATCTCCCAAGCGGCGAGCTCGCTCCGCTTCCCGGCGAGCTCGGAAAAGGAGGAGGGACAAGGCCAAGCAGGCCCAGGAAGTGCCGTCTCCCATCCCGCCGGCCCAGTCCGGTGCCGTCTGCTTGGCATGATGAAGGCCTACTGGTGGATGTGGCCCATCGCGGCTGTGATCGTCATGGCGGAGGCAGCTGCGATGCCCCTGCAGGGCCTCTTCTTCAACTCGGCCGTCCTGTCGCTCTTCGACAGCGGCTTTGGCCTGGCGGGCGACCTGCAGCAGCTTGACGAGGCGGTCTTTGGCTTGCTGATGCTTGGCTTGGGGGGTGGTGTCTTCACCTTGCTCCAGAACTCGCTCTTCACCTACCTGCAAGAGTCCCTTTGCATGATCCTGCGCAAGGCGGCTTTCGCCAGCACACTCCGCATGGACATGGCCTTCTTCGACGCCCCGGAGAACCAGAAGGCCAGCATCCTGGTGTCCTTGGAGAGGCACATGAACCGCGTGGGGCAGATGCTGGGCATCCAGGTACCCGGACGTGGGTTCACGAAGCCTCGACTCTAACTTGGCAGACTGCATGGCCTCATATAGACTTTCTAGAGTTGCTACATTCTGTAGAGTCTAGATTCTACCTGAGAGTAAAACCCTAAACCCTAAACCCTAAACCCCTTGCAGCTCGGAAACACCTTCGGGGCCCTCTTCACCTGCTTCCTGGCCCTCGGGATCAGCTTCTTCGGCTGCTGGGTCCTGGCATCCGCGGCCTTGTTCCTGGGCTGTTCTTTTGGGGGGGTTTCAGGGTCTTAGAGTCTGAGGGTCTTGGGGTTTTAGTGTCTTGAAGTCTTAGGGTTTAGGGTTTAGGATTTTGGGGTTCAGGTCTTAGGGTTTAGGGTTTTGGCGTCTTAGGGTTTAGGATTTTGGGGTTTAGGGTTTCGAATTTAGGGTCTTAGGGTTTAGGGTTCAAGGGGCCTTGATCCTGGGCTCGTCTTAGGGAATTTTGAGTTCCAGAATAGGATAATAGGGAATTTAGCTTAAGTTACCACGGTACGGAAGCCATATTATGTACTGTAGATCCCCACTATGATAACTTAAGGTAAGGTTGCTGATCACTTTAAAGCGTAAACCTGTTCTAGAAATCCTGAAAGGAAACCCCAAAGAAGCCATGGTTGACTTGACTTAAGCTCCCCAGCACTTTCCCAGGATCCCCTAAACCCTAAACCCTAAACCCTAAACCCTAAAACCCTAAACCCTAAACCCTAAAACCCTAAAACCCAAAACCCAATTTCCCAGGATCTTCTTGCCCGTCTGCTTTGCTTTGGGATTCATGGCCACCGTGGGCGCCGCGCGGCGGGAGCCAGAGGCCGAGGAGGCTTACGGAAGGGCCGGGCAGGTGGGAGTTTCCGAGAAAAGGGGAGCTTAGGGGTTAGGGCTTAGGGTTTATAGGGTTGATAAGGTTTAGGGTTTAGGGTTTAGGGTTTATAGGGTTTCGGGTTGAGAGTTTATAGGGTTAAGGGTTTAGGGTTCATAGGGCTCATATAGGGTTTATAGGGTTTATAGGGTTTCTAGGGTTTATAGGGTTTATAGGGTTTATAGGGTTTCTAGGGTTTATAGGGTTTATAGGGTTTCTAGGGTTTATAGGGTTTAGGGTGAGCCTAAGTACCGAAATAGATCCTTCTTGTGAGGACCCAAAAGTCCCTAATTTTCTGAAACTCCCAGGTCACCTCGGAGGCCGCCGCGAGCATCCGCACTCTGAGAGCTTCTGGGCTCGTCTTCATAGTCTTGGGGGAACTTATAGTTGAAATTACCTTAAAGCAGGGCTTAGTATAGATCCCATATAGGAGCCCTCAAAGGAACCCTGATAGATCCCTTTAAAGGTATCCCTGATTTTCGGAAACTCCCATGAGTGGAGCTTCCCAGCAAGAATCGAGGCTTTGGGGGCCGAGGAGCGCACCTTGGAGATCATCGACGGCTTCTTGGAGACTGGGTTCTTGTTAAGGAATTTGAGTTAAGTTACCATAATAGGGATCTGTAAGGGTTTAAGCTACCATAATACGGATCTAGAGTAAATAGTATGGTTTCCTAATTATGGGTTCTTGATAAGGAGCTTGAGAGAAGTTACCATGATAAGGCCTAGTAGGGATCTGGAGTAAATCGTATGGTTTCCTTATTACGGTAACCTAACCTAAACCCCTAAACCCCTAAACCCTTGTAGAAACTGTAACACCCTCAGAGTAACTCTTACAGATTCCTTAAAGGGAAACCCTAAACCCCTAAACCGCTAAACCCTAAACCCCTAAACCCCTAAACCACTAAACCCCTATAAACCCTAAACCCCTAAACCCTAAACCCCTAAACCCAAACCCCTAAACCCTCAGACCCCAGGAGAGGCTTACGGAGCTGAATGCCGCGAAGAGCTGGGAGCTGGGCCTCGCACTGGCCCTGAACATCAGCCTCTTCCCGGTGATCTTTCTGGTGGCTCTGAGGGGTTAGGGAATGTATGGGTTAGGGTATATATGGGTTAGGGTTTAGGTTTAGGGTGGCTGGGTTTAGGGTTTAGGGGATATCTGCAGGATTCATAATATGATTTAAGGTATATTCCCCAATTAAGGGATTCTGGTGGCTCTGAGGGGTTCCTTCAAAGGGGTCTACAAGGGTTACGGTTGCTATAAGGGATCTATAAGGGGACGATAATGCTCTACTCAACTTTCTGGTGGCTTTGCCCTACTTAAAGGATCCCGTACCGTAATTGGGGTTATAAGTATAGTTACCTTACTTATAACCCTACTTACTAAGTCTGGTGGCTCTTCCCTAGTTGGGTAACAACCTGCATCTTAAACCCAGCACTACAAGCAACAGGAGCTTGAAGGTTTCAAAAACTCTCCCAAGCACGAACGAGGTGGGCTTCTGGATCAGCGCCGTGAGCATCCAGTCCTGGGGCTTCGATGCCAGCGAGGTGCTCCTGACGCTCTTCTGCATCTTTGTCACAGTTAGGTAACATTTTACATGTTTTATGGATACTTAAACCCAATAAGGAATAAATATATCTACATTTTTAATCCTACCCCAACAATGATCTAGGCATGGTCTTCGGGGCCATGTCCGTGAGCTCCATCGTCCAGTACATCCCCGACTCTGCCTCCGGCTACCATGCGGCGGTGGAGGTCTTCAGACTCATGGACCAGGTCTCCGTCATAGTTGGGTTAGCATTTTTTGCATCTTTCTTTTGGCACCTCCTTAAAACCCTAATAAAGAATCAAGAGGTGCTTTGTTCAATACTATGCCAACCATGAGCTAGAGGTCTCCAAGATCGACGCCACGCAGCCCGCGGGCCGCGTGGAGAGCATCGGGGACGGTGCGATCCAGTTCCAGGAGGTGCAGTTCTGGTACCCCCATCGCCCCGAGGTGCCCAGGGCGGGCCGGACTTCTCATGCGAGAACGGAGAGGAGAGCAGAGATGCTGCAAGAAGTTGGAGAAGTTATAGAGAAGTGCAGTGGTATAGTGGTTGCTGTTTTTTGTTCGCCCTTTTCGGCAGGTCCGGGTGCTGAAGAAGCTCAGCTTCAGCATCGAGAAGGGCCAGGCGGTGGCTTTGGTCGGCTTCTCGGGTAGCGGCAAGTCGACGGTGATCCAGCTCCTCCAGCGCTTCTACGACCCCCAGGGCGGCTCAATCCGTGTCGGCGGCGTGGACTTGATGGACTTGAGCGTTGCCTGGTGGCGAAGACAGCTGGGAGTCGTTGGCCAGGAGCCTGTCCTCTTCGACATGACCCTGGAAGAGAACGTGAAGTACGGCTGTCCGGAGGCGACAGAGGCCCAGGTGCGCGAAGCAGCCAAGGCTGCTAACATGAACTTCGTCTGCGACGGCGGTTGCAAGCTGTCCGGCGTGAAAAGCGGTGCAGTGAGGTGGACGGACCGCGTCGGACTGCGTGGGGAGAAGCTGTCAGGCGGACAGAAGCAGCGCGTGGCCATCGCGAGGGCGCTGCTGAGGGAGCCCCAGTTCATGCTCCTTGACGAGGCCATGTCAGCGCTTGACTCCGTGTCGGAGAAGGTGGTGCAGCAGGCCATGCAAGAGCTAAGGCAGGGCAAGACCACCATAACCGTGGCACATCGCCTCTCCACGATCCAGCACTCGGACAAGATCTTCGTGCTATCGGACGGCCACCTGGTCGAGTCCGGCACGTACGACGAGCTCGTCAGTCTGCGCGGCAACTTTGCCGCCCTTGCTGCTGGAAGCCTGTGATTCTGAATGCTGAACTCTCGCATGCATAGCCAACTACGGGAAGGGCGGCTCAAGCCCGTTCCTGCTCGTCAGTTGTGATACCGTGATACCTGTTTTAAGGCTCTCCGCCTTCTTTCCGAGGCAGAAAGTCTGTTTTGTGTTTTGACATCCTCGGTGCCATGCCTGCAGCTTACGGAGCTTGCAACTCATTGGAACACCTTCGTACGGTCCTTTCTCACTAAAGCTGTGGGCGCAAGAGTGGGGATGTCCGGGTGGCCAGTGAAAGGCCGTTCTTCCGCTGGAGCACCATGCCTCCCGATGCCAGTGTGACTGTTGAAGGGGCGTAGGCATGGGCCTGCTTTCCAGCCTTGGGTGATTTCCCAAGGTCGAGAGACCCACCGAATTCTGTGCTTGCAGCTCGGGGGAGGGCTGCCACAAAGGACAGCACCCAGCCGACCTTGCTGCAAGACTTGCATGTCCTGCTAGTTCTAGTTTTTGACTGGTGCCAGAGCGCGGCACAGGGACGGGCGTCAGAACATGGCACCGGTATTTGCTTGTTGCTCCTCTGTGCATTAGTGTGGAAGTTTCCGAAAATTTGGGGGCCTGACATAGTAGCCTAAATTGTAGGATCCTTCTTATAAAGGACCCCATAATAAGGTTTATATCCCTCATTTTCGAAAACTCCTTAGTGTGAAGTAATTGGGTTCAGGAGCTCTCTGAAGCTCTGAGAATGGGCTCGTCCGACACCCTGGTGTCGGTCATACCTCCGACGCTGTGACAGCATGGAGATGAGAAATGGCTCCTCTTGCCTTGGGCTGCGAACCGGAGAACCGGCCGTAAACCCTGAGTTCTCAGTTGCAACAGGCACAATAGGAATTACCAATACTATTTGGGGGTTTCTTATTATAATTATAGTATACTGGGCCCCAAAACCCTATTCTAATTCCCTTACAGTAGCCCTTATAGACCCCTTTAAAGGAACCCTATTCTAGTTATTAAGGCCCCTATATTACTTCTTCTAGAAGGTTCGTTCGATGCATGAGCTCGTCCATTCATCTTCGTCCGCACGGAGCCGGGCTCATTTCAAGGCGTGACCCTAAACCCTAAACCTTAAACCCTAAACCCTAAACCTTAAACCCTAAACTCTAAGCCTTAAGCCCGAAGCCCTACTGTTGCAGAAATGCCAGCCAGGTTCAGCTTTCGGAGAAGAAGTCGAAATATTTTCGAAGCCGACGTAGCGACCCTAAGCCCCAAACTCCAAGCCTTCTAGAAACTCCGAGCTCTAAGCCCCAAACCCTAAACCTTATATAATTTCTAAACCCTAAACCTTATATAAACCCTAAGCTCTAAGCATTCAACACTAAACCCCGTATAAACTCTAAACTCTAAGCCCTAAGCCGTAGCGAGGCTTTTCTGTGAGATGCGATGCGCGCCACCGGTGCCCCGGCCGAGCTGTGATGGCAGACAGGAGTCGAAGCCCACGACTTGATCGAAGCGCGCTTGAGAATTTAAGGGTTTAGGGTTTTTAGGGCTGATAGGGTTTATAGGGTTTCTAGGGTTCCTAGGTTTTATAGGGTTTATACGTTTTATAGGGTTTGTAGGGTTTATAATTAGGGTTTATAGGGTTTCTAGGGTTGATAGGGTTTCTAGGGTTCAGGGTCCTAGGTAGGCCTTTGGGATCTATTTGTTGTGTGGTTTCCTTTCTTGGGCCCAAGAGGATCCTGTTTTCGAAGCTTTTTTCACAGGCTTTAAAGGGAACTCCAGAAAGTTGAAATATGGTTTCAGGGTAGGATACCCTATAATTTACCATAAAGGGTTTAGGATAATCATATTCCAACTTTCTGGCTTTTACTTTAGACATCCAGCCTAGGAATTGATCGCATTCCGGAAGAATGTGGACACGACGAGGATTGGGTTTCGCTGGAGGAAGCGGAGCGCTTCAAGTGCCCGATTCTGGGTTGTTGTTAAGGAATTTGGGGTTTAGGGCCTGAGGTTTAGGGCTGAATGGCTTTCAGGGCCTAAGGCTTAGGGTTCAGGGTTCAGGAAGTTGGGATTTAGGGTTTACCTGGACCCTAAATAACCTACCTTGGTAGGGTTCCCTAGTATGTTTTCTTCATACCTAAACCATCTAAAGTAGGTAAAATAATGGCCGAATATCTATACAAGGCCATTATACTACAGTACATACGGGACGAGATGGACTCCGAAAGGCGCCAAAGAGAGGGACATCCTGTAAGAGTCTGGGGTCTTGTTAAGGAGTCTACTATTTGCTTAAGAAACCCCCAAAAAATAAAAATAACAATCCCTATATTACACCCATGAGGAATATATTTTTTATTTTTTGGGGGTTCTTAAGCAAATAGTAGGAGTTGAATATAGGTTACCATAATTAAGGAAACCATATCGTAAAGGTACTATAGATCCCAAACATAGGGAAATTTATTTGAAATTATTCCAAAAAGAATCCAGGATCTGTTACTTGGTGGCCAAGAATGCCGTGTCTCATGACTGCGGGGCATCCCTGTTCTGCGAAAGCTGCTGGAACGGTTGGATGACGCGCGATAACAGATGCCCATTTGTCAGTGTTAGGTAAGATTTTGCATCTTTTTGCGGGTAATTACTTAAAACCAATGAAGAATAGACATGTACAGTTTCAACACTATCCTAACCATGAACTAGGCCCGAGCTGCAGAAAAGATGCTTCAACTTTTGCGCCCGCACACTTTGAGCGGCGCACCATCAAGAACTTGATGCTGAATTGCCCAAACGGCTGTGGGATGACGCTTTCCTTGGCCGACAAAGCGTCCCACGTCAAGAACCAGTGCCCCAACCGCCTTGTCCCTTGCAAAAAGTGCGATGGCAGCTTTCCTGCTCATGAGCTCGCAGCGCACAAGGCCCGAAGTTTCAGGCCCAAAGCCCTAAACCCCAAACCCTTAACGCTTAAGCCCAAAGCCCTAAACTCAACACCTTAAAGCCCTAAGAACGTCGTTTCAGCCTCATCTCGCCTGAGGAGAGCTGCAGGGGTCGCCCGGAGCCCTGCATCATTTGTGGCGAGATGGTCGCAGCAGCCGACATGAAGCGGCACTTCAAGAAGACTAAAGGCGACTCGGCTTATTGTTTGGGGTTCAATGTTTAGGGGTGCTGGAGCTGTTAAACTTGTAATGTGATACCAGATGCACATCTAGCCAGCTGTGTTTGTGTTCGAGGCTCACGATTTGAAGCACTGCCGCGCTCCTTTGTTTTTGTATGACCATGAACCCTACCAGCCCTAAACCCTAAACCCTCAAGCCCTAAAGCCTAAACCCTAAGCCTTAAGCCCCGAAAGCCCTTGAGCCCTAAACCCCAGAGAGCCCAATACCCCTCACTTAAGGAATATATCTTAAACTCTAAGGGGGTTCATATTATGATTGAAGCTCTAGTTCCTTAATTAAGCGGTATCGGCTTTCTGGGTATGCTTGGAGGATCATGGGACTTAATACGTAAGGTTATACGTATCTTAATTGGGGTTATAAGTATAGTTACCTTACTTATAACCCTAGTTACTAAGTCCCATGATCCTTTAAGTATACCCTCAAACCCCAGATAGAACCCTTCATAGTAACCCTTATACATCCCTTAAAGGAACCCTTTAAGGAACCCTAGGCCCCAGAAACTATATAAGTCCCATGATCCTCTAAGTGGTGCCCCCTCCGCCTGGAGCTGATGGTCAGAGCTAGCGACTGAGGACACCTCTCGGCTTTGCTGAAAAAGGCCAAGACGCTGGGATCCTCGCTTGCAAGGGGGTTACCATAAGGGATCTATAGGGTCTACTATAAGGGATCCTATAGGGTCTACTATAAGGGATCCTATAGGGTCTATAAAGGATCCATAAGGGCTACTATACGGATCTATAAAAAGGCCAAGACGCCAAGATCCTCGCTTGCAAGCCAGAAAAAATAGGGATTACTCTACGGGCCAACACCTGCTTCTACTGGATCTTGGTCTGCATTCGGGCTGTCATCGCAGCAATTTTTTTGCGGGAATTCTGCCAGATTTTTTTCGGGAATTCTGAGTAGGTTGACTAGGACCTAGAGTAATTCCTTATTCCCTTTTTAAGGGTTCCGGTTCCCTTATAAGCCCCTTTAAACCAAAAAGGGCACCCTTTTTATTCATCGGTTATTCTTGGGTCTAGTTGAATAGCAGACCCATCTGGGCTTTGACAGCTCCCAAACCGGTGCTCGCGAGCTGGAACTCCGCATGAGTGATTTGAGCTGAGTGGCCCAAGTCTGCGCTGTAGCGTTTTCGAAAATGAGCCTGAACCCTATGCCATAAAAACTGGAAATCCTGAAACCGGGAACTGGTGCTCACCTCTACATCCCAAACCCGAAACGTAGAGTCACCCCCCAAACTCCCTTGGAGCGACCCCTATACTATGCTAGACTCCTGCCTGAATCCGTAAGCCCTATAAACCCCTAAATCGTAAACCCTAAGCCCTTAAAACCTTAAAACCTATAAACCCCTAGGATGCCCAGTAGTACCCTTATTATAGTTTAAGGTATATTCCCTCAAAACCTTGAAGCCTATCAGCCCCTAAGCCCCTGTAGCACCCTTATAGAAACCCATAAGCCCTTATGGAACCCGTGTAGTACACATAGAGGGCCCCAAAAGGAACCCTGGGAGAACCTGAGGTGAAGAAGTAAAGCGTAAACCCTAAACCCACAAAGACCCCTTGTAGAACCCTTAATCATAGGGACCCTGAGGGGAGTAGGGGGCTATACTTCCTTAAACAGGCCTTACCACGTCCTTATTGTAGATATGAAGGGCTCCTACACCCCCCTCCCCCCCACCAAGGGTCCTTATGACGGACAGGCTCCTTTAGACAGAACGCTTCTAGGGTTTAAGGTTTAGGGTTTAGGGCTTAGGGTTTAAGGTTTAGGGTTTAAGGTTTAGGGCTTAGGGTTTAAGGTTTTAGGGCTTAGGGTTTAAGGTTTAGGGTTTAGGGTTCAGGGTTTTAGGGTTTAGGGTGTAAGGTCTAGGGGTTTAGGGTTCAGGGTTTTAGGGTTTAGGGTGTAAGGTTTAGGGTTTAGGGTTTCGGGTTTAAGGTTTAGGGTTTCGGGTGTGTGGAGAGTTCTGAGGCGAAGAAGTGTCCGAGCTCAAGGCGGAGCGCGCGCTCCGCGAGGCGGAGGCTGAGGACCTCTCCTTCCTGGTACCTAGGGCTCCTTTAAAGGGTTCCTTTAAAGGGTTCCTTTAAAGGGTTCCTTTAAAGGGTTCCTTTAAAGGGTTCCTTTAAAGGGTTCTATAAGGAGTACTAGTAACGGGTTCTATATGGTAACAAAGAGCGCAGAGACTCCAATATGAGAGTTTCCGAAAATAGGGGACCCTAATATAATACCATAAGTAGTAGGATCCGTATTATAAGGACCCCAAAATAAGGTAGACCTATTTTCGGAAACCCCCATATCCCTTAAGTAAGGAATGTACCTTAAATTATATTAGGATCCCTAATCTGTTTTAAGGAATATTCCTTAATTAAGGGACATTGGAGCCTCTGGTAACCCAGAGACTTCAATGTAGCTTAATTAAGGAATATTCCCAACATCATTTTCGGGATCCAACTATAATGTAAGGTATATTCCTTAATTTGAGGCATATTGGAGTCTTAGGCTTAGATGCCCAAAACCCAATCCTTTAAACTTTTTTTGGGCTCTTGTAGCTTAGTAGGAACCGGAAAGTTTAGCGTTTTATTTCTGTGGCGTATATTGGGGTAGTACGGTTCCATTCAAAGGGGATTCTGCTTCAAAGGGCTCGTTTAATTTAGAGGGGTTCCTTGTGAAAAGGATTCCCTCTAAAGGGCTCCCTTTGAAGGGTTTCTCTGCAAAGGCTTACGGTTTATTTAGGGTTTAATGTTCAACGGGATTTTCTGGTTTAGGGTTGTGTGAACTAGGGTGCAGATGGGTAAGGCTTTGTGGGGTCAGGGTTAGGGTTTAAAGCTCTCGTCCTTAGACTTTGCGAAACTCCGAAATGACGCAGAGGGTTCTGCAAGGGTTCGAGTTGGATTCCGGGGCAGCCCTGGGATTTGACAGTCAGAGTGATGTTTTGGGTTTGAAGGTGAGGCCTTTCTTTTTTTTTTTTTTTTTTGGGGGGGGGGGGTAATTTTTGGATTTCGGGTGATTTGGGGCGTGTGTTGAGAGATTCGGAATGAGCCAAAGCTGACTTACTGTTGATGGACAAAATCCTGCATGACCCTAAGGACTCTAAGCTATTGGAATTATGGTATATTCCTTATTATGGGTAATGCAGGATTTCGTCCATCAGCAGTATGAGTGGGTTTATACTTTAGGACCTTCTTTAGCTTTAGGGTTTTAGGCTCTCTGAGTCTAGGGTTTAAGAAAGTTTAATGTAGGAACCTGATCAAGAAACCCTGGCCTGTTTTTGCCCCAATATATTTGGTTCTATATTAGAAACCCTGATAAGGACCCAAGGTTTCTTAATCAGGTTCCTGCATGATAGAAGCCCTTGTCGTACCCTTGTAGATCCCCCAGAGACTCCAATATCCCTCAATTAAGGAATATTCCTTAAATCATATTAGGGATCCTATTATAATTTAAGGAATATTCCTTAATTAAGGAATAGTGGAGTCTCTGGGCCCTTTTTGTGATCTTGGGAGCCCTTTTAAAGGAACCCTTAGGGGCCCTTAGACGTTTAGCACGGATAAGCCCGGAGGGCCTGAGGCCGCGTTATAGGGGTTTAGGGTTTAGGGCTTAGGGTTTGGGGTTTAGGGTTTCCTTTAAAGGGATCTATAAGGGTTCCTATAAGGGTTCTTTTAAGGGATCTATAGGGTTTGGGGTTGAGGGTTCAGGGGCTTGGGATCTAGGGGCTTAGGGTCTAGGGGTTTAGGGTTTCGAGATTTGAAAGTTGTGGGCTCCATGCCCCTTTGAAGCGATCTCCGTGTGTCCTTAGAGAGCCCGATATCCCCCTGAATTAAGGAATATGCCTCGAACCATCAGAGGAACACCGTCATAATTTAACGTATATGATATGCCTCGAATCATCAGATGAACACCCTTATAACTTAAGGAAAGAATAAACAGACCGGCTAGTAGACCTTCTTAAACAATTCCTACTAAGGGAGATAGGTATAGGGCTCTGTCCATTAATTCTAGAAGGACAAGGGTGGCTTTGCCAGGAGATCTAAGCTAAACCCTAAACCCTAAAACCCTATAGATCCCTTACAGGTACCCTTAAAGGAACCCCCTATTTTTCTGTATCCTTTCGGAGGCCTTCCTTCAGCTTTGCCAGGAGATGCTCCGAGCCCTACCCGCCCAGCAGGGCAGGATCCCGGCAGGTCCCCCACCGCCGAGGTGGGAGTTTCAGAAAATCGGGTGGAAAACCGCTACTTAAAGGATCATGGGACTTAGTAACTAGGGGTCCTTTAAGGGGTTCCTAGAAAGGGATCTGTAAGGGTTACTATTAAGAGTTCCAGAAGGGTCTTAGGGATATTTAGAGGATCATGGGACTTAGTAACTAGGGTTATACGTAGGGTAACTATACTTATAACCCCAATTGAGGTACTTATAACCTGACTTACTAAGTCCCATGATCCTCCAAGTATCTTGGGGTCCTGAAAATGAGGATCCTACTATTGAGGGTTCTAGATGAGGGAAGGAGATAGTACCCTAAATGGTGACTAGTGGGATCCTGAAAAGGACCACAAAGTAAGGTAACCCTGCATTTTCGGAAACTCCTAGGTGGTTCGCCCCCGTCCCTCCTCCGGCGCCGGCGCCGGCGGCGGCGGCGGAGCCTCCACCACAGGCACGAGCACATAAGGGGCAGTTCTTGCCGGGGAGGCCGTCATGTGCTTCAGCTCTATGCCGTTGTTTCGGGCTATTGCCCGCTGCCAGTGAGAATCTTATTGAGCCATGAGGGGGTGGGTGTAAGCGGTTTCGGGGACATCTCGAAGTATCGAGTCCTGTGATTTCATCTTCATAGGAGGCCAAAAGGGGTTTTAGCCTATGGGGGTTTGGTAGGGATTAGGGTCCCCATAATAGGGTTCATATTGAGGAATCCCTACCCCAAGCATCTTAAACCCCCCTTTAATTTTGGCCTCCCATCACATCTTGCAGCCAGGGTCGGTGTGGGCTCTCGGCATGTTTATCCTCCCAGCAGTTTCCCCACTAGTAAACCAAACTCATAGAGACCCTTAGGGGGTGAGGGGGAGGGGGGGCGGGTAGGGGGCCTTAATAACTCTTGATGAGGACCGTAAACCTTCCATATCAGTACCGTCAGCACCGCGAGGCAGTAGCCGCCGAGCTGCCGCCGAACGTCGAGGCCGCAGTGTGTCCAGCTGTCCAAGGGGAAGAGCGCGAGGAGGGTTAAGGGCCGTTTAGGGTTTAAGGGTTCAGGGTTTATGGTGTAAGGGTATTGCATCGTGTTGATGCAAGGGAGGTGCAAGGTGGGTAGCTGGGGTACTGGCAATCCCAAAGGGTGCACACAGAGCGACCATGTGCAATGCAACGCTGAGAAGCACGCTGGGGGAGGACGCTGCAATGACATCTGCTAAAGATGGTGCCTGAACAATTGACGGAATATTTGTTGTAAGTTCTTGAAGTAGCCTGCACTTTTATTCGGCAGCCGTGAATATCAAGCAAACTTTTCGAGCTTTTCGAGTAGTTCTCTCCTCTTCGTCAAGTGGCAGCCTTGGAAAACAGCTTCTAAAACTTCAGCTTGCTTGCATCCTTTCAGGTCCGTCGATCATGGCAGCTTACCCTGGCCACGAACTCAGGTACCTCCGAAGCTTTTGATGCCAACCCTTTCCTTGACCAGGTCCTATTTTTGCTTTCCCGCCGCACGTTGCGGCCGAAGATGGGCCTAAGTTTGAGTCGCCGCCTCAAACAAAAAAACACCGTTAACGTTCAATCTTGTGTTAGTCTGAACTCAGGCAACCGCGCTGGTGGACCCGCCGGATCGCCAACGAGGCCGGAGCACAGTAAGTTAGAGGATAATTGTCGAAAGACTCCGTCGGCAGGTGTATGATCGCGAAAGAAAGTTCCACAGCAGCCTCGGCGAAGGCTCGGTTTTAGCGATCGATGTCACCTAATTTCTTTTCCTGTGTTTTATTGCCAGACGACTACATTTACACCGAATACGAGAAGGCAGGATTCCGCCGGCATCGAGTGAGTACATATCTGGTTGATTCAGGTGCGGGACTGGCCGACCACCAGCGCGGACCACTTCATCTTGCCGATGGTGGTGGTGATCGAGTTTCGTCTAAGGCCCACTTCGGTTTCTTAGCTTCGCTTCGTTGCCTTCGCAAGTGCACCTGACAGGACACTCGAACGCCACTGTCGGCTGAGCACTGCCCCAAGCTTGTCTGTTACGATGCCCGGGTGCCGGCAAACAGAGGATTGGCAGGAATTTTACGCTTCACAGAATCAGAATCCGAGCTTTGGTAGCACAGCTGTCGGCTGCAAACACTGGATGCCGACCATCAGCGTGGTCTTTAGCTTCATGTTCGGGAAAATAGGGGTCCCTGATATAGTACCCTAAATAGTAGGATCCTTATTATAAGGACCCCAAAATAAGGTACCCCCAATTTCTGAAATGGGCTGCAATGCACGCCTCCGGTGTCGCTGCAGCGTTGAAGATAAGCAAACCGGACAAGATGGGCCTCCTCGATTTGGTGTATAAGGAACCCCCAAAACAGCACTAAGTTACCGTAATAAAGGAATCCCACTACCTATTATCCATCCCTATTATGGTAACTTAAGTTAAATTCCTTAACAAGTGCTCCATGGGGCAGCTTTTGGCCCGCGGCAGTTCCGTGACAGTGGTCCAGCGGCCGAGCGTTCAAAAAGAACCAAGGCATCCGCCCGACACCGGGTGTCCCTTGTGAGATGGCGCTTAGCTTCTGCAGCCAGCTATGAATGGATTTCCAGTCGTTAGTGTTGTAGAGTTTAGGGTTCAGGGTTCTTCAGGGGTAGCCGGCAGTCGCAGTACTCTCACGGCTCACCCCAGTCCGCGCTGAAACGTTGACAGCGCGGCCTTAGTCAAGAGGCTCCGGGCTTCCCTCAGCCCTGAAACACCGAAACGAAGCCCTAAACCCTGACCCCTAAACCCTAAACCCTTTGTCATCTGTTACTTCGGAGTTACCCTGCAATGCGGGCTTCGTCCTTGCTAGGTCCTAGGTAGGAGGGAAAACAACCCTAAAGCCCTGAACCCTACACCCCTAAGCCGTAAACCCGGGTAACCCGAGATCCGGCTTGTCCGAGTTGCGAGAGCAACAACCCTAGACCCCTCCACTCACAGAAGGTTATAAGTACCTTAGTTGGGGTTATAAGTATAGTTACCTTACTTATAACCCTAGTTACTAAGTCCCATGATCCTTTAAGTAGACCCCTCCCCTCACAGAAGGTGCTGTATCAGCCGGGAAGGCGAAACATGTGTAAACGCCCTGTAGTACCCCACATCGATGGAGCTTTAGGAATTAAGGCTTTAATCTAGTGTTACGGCTTTTCGCCCATGGCCAAGGATTCGGTTGATGATAGAATTCCTGCATTACCCTAATGACCCTAAACTATGGGAATTATGGTATATTCCTTATTATGGGTCATGCAGGATTTATATCATCAACCGTTGTGTCGTGCAGGTGGTGCCTCCGAGGATTCCACAGGCAGCCTTTCGAAGGGTTACGCGTGTGAGCTAGAGACTCTTCAGCCGTCAGAGGTTCGGAGGCCTCAAGAGGTGGGATGAAGGTAGGTGGGATATTCCCAAATAAGAGTCCTTATATAAGGGATCCTTGATCGTACCTACCTTCATCCCACCTTTTGAGGCCTCCGAGAGGTTCGAGCTGTTCCGGAACATCTCTGGGGTATTGTCATTATTATTGTTATCATTATCATTAATTGTTGTTATCATTATCAGTATTAAAGTTGCTGTTAGTATTATTCGTGTTCATTTTTTCTGCTATTGTTCTTGTAAGTATTGTTGTTTGTATTGTATCATTATTGCTATTATTGGGACCGTCTAGAAGATCTAGAAGCCTAGAGAAGCCTAGAAAGGACCCTACGACTCCAATATGCTTTACTTAAGGAATAGACCTTAAACAAAGTAGGATCCCGAACATGATGTAGGGAATATTCCGTAATTATGGGATATTGGAGTCGTTGGGTGCTCTACTCTGCTCTGCTGTAATTACCATACTTGAAGGATGATGGGACTTACTAAGTAGGTTGTAATTGGGGTCATAAACCCATGAGCTTTGAAGTAGCATGATACTCTAATCTACCATACTATACTACTCTGATGTTGTAAGACTCCACCCTACTGTACTAGACTAGACTATGCTGTACTATGCCATACTATACGATTATGATACTGCAATACTCTATGCTATCTTACTATATTCCCACACCCTTAACCTTAAACCCCTAACCCCTAAACACTATATTCCCATACCTTCGAAGGAGCAACGGGCTGCCGCAGCACCGGTGCCGGCCCTCCAGGCAAAGCGTCTGCAGATCTCGAAGCTTCTTTTCATAATGATGACAGTCACAATAAAGTTAAAGTAGTATATAGTAGTAACAGCAGGAGTAGGAGTAGGAGTAGGAGTAGGAGTAGGAGTAGGAGTAGGAGTAGGAGTAGGAGTAGGAGTAGGAGTAGGAGTAGGAGTAGGAGTAGGAGTAGGAGTAGGAGTAGGAGTAGGAGTAGGAGTGGAGTAGGAGTAGGAGTAGGAGTAGGAGTAGGAGTAGGAGTAGGAGTCGGAGTCGGAGTCGGAGTCCGAGTCAAAGTCGGAGTCAAAGTCGGAGTCGGAGTCGGAGTCGGAGTAGGAGTCGGAGTAGGAGTAGGAGTAGGAGTAGGCAGTAGGAGCAGGAGCAGGAGTAGAGTAGGAGTAGGTAGTAGTCGTAGTAGTAGTAGTAGTAGTAGTAGTAGTAGTAGTAGTAGTAGTAGCAGTAGCAGTAGCAGTAGCAGTAGCAGTAGTAGCAGTAGCAGTAGCAGTAGCAGTAGCATAGCGTAGCAGTAGTAGCAGTAGTAGTAGTAGTAGCAGCAGTAGTAGCAGTAGTTGCAGTAGTAGCAGTAGTAGTAGTAGTAGTAGTAGTAGTAGTAGTAGTAGTAGGACTAGGAGTAGGAGTAGGAGTAGGAGTAGGAGTAGTAGTAGTAGTAGTAGTAGTAGTAGTAGTAGTAGTAGTAGTAGTAGTAGTAGTAGTAGTAGTAGTAGTAGTAGTAGTAGTAGTGTATTAGTAGCAATAAGAGTGGTATGAGTGGTAACTGTGGTAGGAGTGGTAAGAGTAGTAAGAGCAAGTCGTAAGAAGAGTAGGAGTAGCAAGAAGAGTAAGACGAAAAGTAATAGTCACAATAATAGCAACAATAGTAGCAACAACAATAACAGCAACAGTACTCACAACAACAATGCTAACCTCAATGGAAAATCACAGTGTAAAGCTTGGGGCTGTTCAGTGTGTTTAGGGAATATCTTGGGGTCCAGGGTATAGGGTTTGGGGATGTGTGCAGCATGCTTTCGCCAGAATACAGTAGACCCCTTAAAGTTGGAAACCGGATAAAGGCCAAATAATGCTGGGATTCCCCACATACGGTTGATGATAGAATCCCTGCATTACCTTAATGACCCCAAACTATGGGAATTATGGTATATTGCTTATTATGGGTCGTGCAGGGTTTGTATCATCAACCGTATAACTCTTAAGGATTGAGGCTATTGGGTTTCCAACTTTTCGGCTTCTACTGTGGGTTTAGGGTTTAGGGTGTAGGGTTTAACCCTAAACCGTAAACCCTAAAGCATATGCCTTGAACTTGTCATCGCTGAATCTTAGGACTGGGAGTGCTCTAAGTCTTTGGTAGGGTTCCTTTAAAGGGGTCTGTAGAGGGCTACTATGACTAAGGGCATTACAGTATAGGGGCCCAAATAATCAGCTAAATTATTTTGGGGGTTCCTTATTAAAAGTATAGTGTAAGGGGCCCCAAACCCTATTCTTAATCTTGCAGGTGCAGCTGCTGGCCAGTGGAGCTGACGACAGGAGTGTTTGTTTGTGGGATGCCCGCACCGGGGCGGTCAGTGCTACTTTGTCATAGTTGGGTAACATTTTAGATTTTTATGGGTTCTTAAACCCAATAAGGAATAACAAATTCAACTATTTAATCCTATCCCAACAATGAACTAGGCTACACTCAGCGGGCACAGGGATATCCTCTTCTCAGTGTGCTGCCTCAGCCCTACGACATTAGCCAGCGCAAGTGCTGACCACACCATCAAAGTTTGGGACCTTCAACGCCTCACCTGCACAAGGACCCTTTGGGGCGGTGGAAACACAGCCGTACGCTCTGTTTGCCAGCTTGATGCCACGACTTTGGCAAGCGCCGAATTTGGTGCCGTCAAGGTGTGGGACCTGCGCACAGGCAGGCCTCAAGCCTTGTTGCCTAGTAACAACGCTCGCTTCCTCGACTGCATTTGCTCGCTGACGGCAACGACTTTGGTCAGCTGTGGTCTTGATGGCTTGCAGATTTGGGATGTCACGGCCATGCGCTGCACAGATGTGTTCATCAATGACGACCAATCGTCACGGAAGTCCGTGCGAGTCGTCACACCGAGGACGGTTGTAGCCGGTGGAAACACAGGTGCAGATCTCTGGGATTTCCCTACTCGCACGAAAGTGAAAGACTTCCTAGGCCATGCAGCGGATGTGCTCGATGTTTGTGCGCTTGCGCCTGACACTGTGGCTACAGCCGGTATCTAGGTGGCAGTTTGGGAAGCTCTTTAACTTCCCTTTTTGTTTTCCACAGAGGTACCTATTCATAAATACTGTTAAGGGGCCCTGAACTACAACCCAGGTAAAGATGCGAGTGTCAAAGTGTGGGATTGCAGCACTGGCAATTGCAGCAAAACTTTAGTTGGACACGCCGAAGGGGTCTACTCCATTTGTGCTTTGTCGTCTTCGACCCTTGCTACGGGTGGCCGAGATTCAACGGTGAAGCTCTGGGATGCTAACACAGGCGCTTGCACGCGGACTCTGACTCGACACAGGGGGTTCGTACGATGCCTCTGCCCGCTGAAGCCAGCTTAGCCGTGATCTTTCGCTTCTTTTTAGTCTTAAAGCCTTACCACTTAGTCTTCGAAACCCCAAACCCGCAATCTCAAAACCCCAAAAAATCACCCTCAAACCCTAAAGAAACCCAAGAGTAATCCTAAAAAAGATAGACAATCCGACACCCAAGCCGCGAACTGCGGTCCGAACCCTCTTTGCAACCACGAGTTTCAGAGTTCCTTACTCCTAGAGCGACGGTTGATGATATAAATGCTGCATTACCTTAGGGACCCTAAACCATGGGAGTTATGGTATATTCCTTATTATGGGCAATGCAGGATTTATATCATCAACCGTTGCTTCTAGAATCTAGAGAAGGGACAATCTGCAAAGGGGGGTGGTTTCAAGTTAGATGGCAAAGATATAAGGGACCTTTAAGGGTACTACATTACTATAATGTAGGCGCCTGAAACTCCTAGAATAGGATATTGTAAGCTAGGTCTCAGCCGCAATATTCGTAGAAGAACTCAAGCACCGAGTTGCAATAGGTCTGCTGGTTGATCGGAATGCTTGTTGCACCTGGGGTATGACGATACCGCTGCTTTCTTTTAGTTTTGGGTTGCTGACCGATAGAACCAGCTGACAGTGCAGCATTTGAGGGAACAAGCTTTCCTCTGCAAAGGGCTTCGTGGATGTGGATAACAATCACTTTTCTGGTTCCCAGCACAGCACTCGCATCACTACGCAAGATCCACACCCGAACCTGTTGTGGCCATATCTGGCACGTCACGAAAAGAGCTGTTCTCGAGGGCTTGGACCCTTTCGCTTGATGCAGTGCTGAAAAATAAGGCCGAGTCGCGCTAAGTTTGTATGTATTCATTAAGTGAAGTGTGTGTATCTATATACACACTCACACATTAGTTGGAGTGTACGTCATAGCATATATGTATATATTAGCATGTATGTGTGTGTATATATATATATATATACACAGAGGACTTGCCAAAGCATTGCCCGACTGCGGTTTGCCCATCGTCAGTTGGTCTGCACCATCCGCAGCGCAATTGACGCTCAGGAGATGACACACGTCCTGAGATCTGGGTGGTTGTGAAAATCAGGGTCCCTTCTTGGGTCCCTATCATGACACGGCACCTAGTATTTAGGGTACCCAGAAAGGTACCTTAATTATGAGAACTACCAATCTAGTTATTTGGAAGACGTGATGGCAAGCGGGTTCCTGGGGGGTACTCTACTGCCGCACTCTGAGTTTCTGCATTCGGGTCGTAATGTAAAAACAAATAGGATTCATATACGGAACTCGAATAAAGGCCCAAGGTTTCTTAGTCAGGTTCCTACATTACGCGGCCGTGCCACGGCTTGCCACTGCTGCGGAATTCGTGCGCAGGTCCCTGGCCGTTTTTTCTTGGGGAGCTTTGGGCTTCACGGCTTAAGGTTTGAGCTTTAGGGTTTAGGGTTTGGGGTTTAGGGGTTTAGGGGTTTAGGGTTTAGGGGTTTAGGGCTTAGGGGTTTGGGGTTTGGGGGTTTAGGGTTAAGGGGACGCTCAGTCCTTAAGAGTAATGTGTAGGGGTCCCAGCACTATTTGGCCTTGATCCGGTTTCCAACTTTGTGGGGTTTACTGTATAGGATTCCCTTAAGGGCTTGGGGAAGGCCACTCTGGCGGCCCTAAAACCCTAAACCCTAAACCCTAAAACCCTAAACCCTAAAACCCTAAGCCCTAAAACCCTAAAGCCCAAAAACCCTAAAACCCTAAGCCCTAAAACCCTAAAGCCCAAAAACCCTAAAACCCTAAGCCCTAAAACCCTAAAGCCCTAAAGCCCTAAAACCCTAAAACCCTAAGCCCTGAGACCCTAAGCCCTGAGACCCTAAACCAAGATCCTCCGGGCCCGTTACTTGAAGACCCGGCAGGGCCGGCATAGACCCCCCCTGCCTGTGATTTAGAGGCCCTTGATGAGCCTTAGGGGTTCTTTTAAAAGAGTTCTATAAGGGCTACTGCAGGGGTTACTGTGAGGGTACTATAATGTAGGGGCCTTCATGATTAGACTATTTCTGGGTTTCCATGTTTCAAAGGTAGCATAATATACCCCAAAACCTTATTCCAATCATAAAGGCTCCGATCATGCTTTCCACGTCAAATCAGAGCCTTTGTGTCCCGTGGTCGCGGTATCGCATGTCGGACTGCATGCGCTTCGCGCTGTGACACGGCCGAGTCGGCGCATTTAGCAGGGGATCAGGCTCCGAGTCCTTTTACACGAAGTAGGCAGGATCCTCGTTGTAAGGACCTTGTAAATCAGATACCCTGCTTTGAATTTGCCTGTGACCCTACACTCTACGGGTTTCTGACTACGATGCCCCTTGATGGGAGGAGGCAGGGTTTGGGGCTCACCTGCCTTGCAGTATCCGAACTTCACGTGTGCTGACACGGCATGCACCAGAGCTTAGGGTTTAGGGTGCAGGGTTTGGGCACTGCGTTGTATGAAGCTGCGATGCCCGAGTGAAATAACGGCAAGGTCCGGGGGCCGTCTGTGGCCGAGTGTGAGCTCCGCAGCCATGGAGGGGCGCACGCGACCGTGCACGATTTCGCTGGCTACATCAACGGGGGATGAATCGCCGTCAGGATCCAGTGCTTCCTCCCGCCCTTCAAGCCCGCAGAGCCGTCTGAGCCCGCTGAGCCCTCTGAGCCCTCTAAGCCACAGCCTCTCTTCCGATGACATGCTCACGTCCTTGCAGCCCACGCTGATTCGAGGCGTGGCACTCCACACGTGCTTGAGCGGTCTTGGCCGACACTGGAGGCGTCCCAGCTTCAACGAATCGCTCCGGAGCGAGTATGACCTCTCCAGCAGAACCCGGTCCTATGACTTCTTCTTTAGCCATGACTGGGAAACGAACGGCTGGCTGAAGTTTGTCTCCCTCTTGGTCCTCTTCAACTCACGCGCAGCCACCTTGGCCACCTTGGCTTACAGCCTCCTGGCCGCCGCCGTCTTTCCACCGGGCACGGGCACGCTGCCGTCCCATTGGTTGCCAATCATTGGATATTTGGCACCTGGCTGGCAAGTTCGGATGTTTTCTGTTCTTCAATTTGGAGTCTTCTAAGAGCTGCCGGTTCCCTCAACCCTAAAACGAGGATGCTTTGCGGGGCAACCCAACCCTGAACCCCAGCCCTTAACCCTAAAACCCCATGAACCCCAAACTCAGAACCTCAAACCCTAAAGCAAACGAAGCCCCTAAACAAAACCTCAACCCTATAATTAAAAAAACCCTAAAACCCCAAACCCCTAAAACCCCTAAACCTCTAAAAACCCTAAAAAACAGTAAAACTCCAAGATTCTTACACCCAGGTATTTAACCTTAAAACCTCAAAACCCGTAAAAAACCCTAAAGCCCAGGTATTCCTGGTGTTTCTGGTCTCCTGGCAGCATCTTCGGGCGGCCGTCCGGGCATCGCGCACCGCCTTCCTGGACAAGCTCTGTATCCCCCAGGGGGACGAGGAGTTAGTTTCGAGGGGTTCCTTTAAAGGGATCTATTAGGGTTCCTTTAAAGGTTCCTTTAAGGGATCTATAGGGTTTAGGGGGGGGGTTCGGATTTAGGTTCCTTGGTTTTGGGGAGTTTAGGATTTAGGGTTTTGGGGTTTAGGGTTTCGGGGTTTGGGGTTTGGGGGTTTTGGGGTTTCCTTCTAAGGAATCTATCAGGGTTCTTGTAAGGGTTCCTTTAAGGGTTTTGGGTTTAGGGGTTTAGAGTTTGGGCTTTTGGAGGATTTCGGAGTTTAGGGTGGGTGGGGTTTCGGGTTTGTGTTTTTGGAAGGTTTTGGGGTTAAGGGTCTAGGATTAGAAGCTGCCCCCACCCTGTAATAGTGGTATAATAGGAATATAATAGGGCCCTACTATAATCCTTATAGTTAAGCCTAGGATGTTTGGGTTTAAAGGGAACTCCAGAAACTTGGAATATGGATTAATGGTAGGATCCCCGATAATTTACCTTAAAGGGGTTACGATAATGATATTCCAACTTTCTGGCTTCTACTGTAGGGTTTTGGGGTTTTGGGGGTTATCAGTAGGGTGGCGAGGAGCTCTGAACCGCACTCTCCGATTTTATCGGGTTTTCAGCAGTTCCGGAGCTGTACAATATGGGGCCTTAATAATTACCCAGAGGGTTCCTTTAAAAGGGTCCTAGAAGGGTAACTGTAAGGGCCACTATAAGGGTACAGTATAAGGGGCCTGAAGAATTGCCAATATAGTTATTGTATTATGGGCCCCAAGACCCTATTCTAATTATTAAGGCCCCCGTAGTAGTAGTTGTTTTTACTTATCTGGGGTTTCAGGCGCATAAGACTCTACACATCCCCAAGAAGAGGTACAGTCGTTGAGTGTGTGGCTCCAGCGTGTTATCCCCAGCCCTAAACCCTGAATCCTAAACCTGAACCCCAACTAAACCCTAAGCTATACCATCCGTTTAGAGTTATCAACTAAGCTCTCCGAAAATTGCAAAGTGATCCGGAGCATTCATCTTCCGCCGGCTGTTTGATTATTTCTGTACTTATCCACAGTAGCTCGTGTGGTACATAGTCTATGTGGTATCTATGGAAAAGATCGTACGTAATGGATCATCATAGGTTTCAGGTATATTGCGATGTTGTACCAGATACTAGGTATACGAGAATGATAGTATGAGTTTAGCAATATGGGGCCTCAATAATTCAAACAGGTTGTTGGGGCCCATTATACTATAATTTTCACAAGCAATCCACAAAATAGCATTGGTAATCATTAAGGCCACGTGATTACAGTACCCTTATAGTAACCCCTATAGCAACCCTTTTAGAACTCTTTTGAAGGAACCCTTTAAAGGAACCCTATAGTATCAGGAGCTCAAGGCATCGTGTATCTTCCGTCTCTCCAGCTTCCTGGATCGATCCAAGTCTCTGGTGGTTCTTTGGTCCCCGCAGTATTTCTCGCGGCTGTGGCCTGCTTGACAATCGTATAGGTCGAATAAATAAATAAATAAATAAATAAGAAAATATGTATATATATATATACATACATATATATACATATACATATATATACATATATATACATAGATGTATAGCTGTGGTGTTTTTAGGGTTTAGGGTATGTATGTAATATTGTTTGCACCAGTGGTCCTTTGTCGTTGTGCTCTTCTGTAGTACTAGTGATACAACTCTAGAGCAAGTATGGGCTGCTCGACTCTGGAGACTACGATACTTCAAGGCGAGCGGAGGTTTTGACATGGATGTAGATGTAATATAGATATGCACAGACATCTGTATGCATATGATCGTACATGCATATCTAGTTGTCCCATCTGCAAGACTGAGCACGCTTGTGCATCTCGTTGCTTGTAGCTGATTCACTGATAATGTTGCCACTGCTGAAGCCTATCTCGGTCAGCTGAGGTGGTGCATGTACGAGGTGGCCACTTTCCTTCGAGATCGGAGGCAGCAGCGATCACAGTCGGGGAAGCCCGTTGTGTTTCTTCCCGTTCAGGTCTCCGTTCTGTATCTGGTTACATTCATTGCAAACTCAGTGTTGCACTTCTCCACGCTTTCTGCTGCTGCCATGTGGCGGTTCCAAGATCAGAGCTTCGGTGCAATGGCTTGGTTCATTCTTTGCAACCTGGTTTTTGGAGTACCATATTTGAATACTTTTTTTGGCACCTGTTCCTTCAGGGAACCATTATGAAATGAACGTCTATACTTTTTTCTCCCTGGTTACTTCAAAGTCCAGGCAACAGCAGTCTGCCCTGGGTCTTCTTACCAACTTGCTTCCGGCTCTGTACGGACGTGCTTCAGGATGCTGCGAAGCTTAGGGATCAGTTCCTCTCATTCCGGATACAGGACAGCATCTGGGCTTTGGAGTACCATACTTTAATACTATTTTAGGGACCTGCTACTGAAAGGGAACCATTATGAAATAAACGTCTATACTCTTGGGCCCAGGCATGTGCTTCTGCTGCCAGCATGGGCACCAGCATCCAGAGACAGGTGGCGACATCCCTTGCGATCGACAGCTCATCTACGGTGTTCTACAGAAGCTGGGGCTCTTCTTAAAAAAGAAGTTTCGATTTCAGCTACCATAATATCTTAAGGATCTATGGTAACAATACGGTTTCCATAGTATGTTAACTTGAATTGAAGCCTTTAAAAAGAAGACAGTATGGTTTCCTTATGATGGTAACTTAGACTGAAGCCTTTAAAAAGAAGACAGTATGGTTTCCTGATTATGGTAACTTAGACTGAAGCCTTTAAAAGAAGACAGTATGGTTTCCTTATTATGGTAACTTAGACTGGAGCCTTTAAAACGAAGAGCCCAGGAAGTGGTTCGGGTCCTCTGCGCATTCGCAGGAGGAGTGCTTGGACACCTTCAACCGACTGGTACGGACCGAGCTCGCACCCCCTGTGCCGCGCACGGTTTAGGGGTTTAGGGTGTCTAGGGGTTTAGGGGTTTAGGGGTTTAGGGTTTAGGGTTTAGGGTAAGCCCACAGGAGGCCTAAGGCGTAAGGCCAGCCATTAGAGAGTGATCTCGATCATTGTAAGAGTAGCTTTCATTGCTATGGCACACAGAGGTGCTGCGCAAATTGGAGGATGAAACCCTGATGGCACAGTACTTGACCACCGCGGGCTTCGCCTCGTTTCTCCCGTGGATCCCGATTCTACTGCCCGCCTGGCTGACAGAGCTGCGAAGTGCATGTGAAGGACATGCCGGGCGCCTTGAGCCTGTATCTGCTGTCTGTACTCTCTGTGTGTGTGGGGGGGTTTTAATAGAGTTAAGGGGGGGCGGTTGCTTGTTCTGGGCATCCTCCGATTCCGGGTTCAGGCTGGGTTACCTTTTTTCTCAAGCTTTCACATCGTTCATGGGTAGAACAAGCTTTTCATCTGTGATGCCAGTCTGTAATGTTAATGTATCTTTCCTCGACCAGTCAGTTGAACGCTGCTAGATGATGGTGCTCTTGCATACGGCGTGCAGCCACATGAATCCGGAAGCTCGGGGCTAGAAAGTGGGGGCTGTGCATTGTGCTACCCCCGAGCTGCCTCAAGCCTTCAACGCTCAACCCTAAAACTCTCAGCCCTGAAATCCTCGACCCTAAACTACTTAAAGGATCATGGGGCTCAGTAAGTAAGGTTATATGTACCGTAACTGGGGTTATAAGTAGTTGTAGGTCTAGTTACCTTACTCATAACCCTACCATTACCCTTTATAAGGAATATACCATAATTCCCATAATTTAGGGTCCTTAGGGTCATGCAGGATTTTGTCCATCAACACTACATCCCAAACGCAAGGTATGGCAAGCTCCTTAACCCTAAACCCTAAACCCTAAACCCAAGGTATGGCAAGCTCCTCCGCAGCCGTGGCATGGACCTGAACATCGTCTTGGTCTTGCTTTGCTGCGTGCATTGGCGCGTGAAGGCCCCGGGGGTTTAGGTTTTAGGGTTTAGGGTTTAGGGTTTAGGGTTTAGCCTCTTGAAAAGGATCCCCAAGAGAGGGCTAATGTGGGGGCTCTATAAGGGCTACTAGAAGGGATCCTATAAGGGCTACTATAATATAGGGGCCTTAATACCTACCTAGACTATTTGGGGTTCCGGTTATAGTATAATGGGCACCAAAACCTTTATTCTAATCATTAAGGCCGCTATATTGAGTCCGGGACCCCAGCGCCCCAGAACCCCGAAACCTAACAGCCCTAGAAGCCCTAAAGACCTATAATTACCCAAAGCCCCTAAAACCCTAAACCCTAAAAGTCCTAGAAGCCCTAAAGATCTTATTCCCTAAGCCCGAAACCCCAAACCCTAAAAGTCCTAGAAGCCCGGATACTCTATATACCCTATATTCTTTCTACCCTACATACTCTATATGGGTAGTTGTCAAAATTAAGGTCCCTTTTTGGGCACCCTAAATATTAGGTGCCGTACTATAACAGGGACCCAAAAAGTGGCCATAATGTTGACAACCACCCACATGCTGATATACCTATATACTCCATATCCTCTTTTTATACTCTAACATATACACTGTATACCCTATATACTCCGTATTCTTTCTATCCTAAATATTATATAAGAGAACTGCCGAGGTGATCGGCCCACTTGGTCTTCGATTGAGGAGTTCGCTGAGCCCGGCAACTGGGTTAGCAAAAAGCAGTTCGGGCTACAAGGGTTTTGGGGTTTTAGGGGTTTTACGGGCGTTATAGGGCTTGAGGGGTTTTAGGGGTTTTAAAGTTTTTTAGGGTGGTTTTAAAGGTTTTTAGGGGTTTTAGTGGTTTTAGGGTTTAGGTTAGCTTAATGTAGGCTGGTAAGAAACCCCGGGCCTTCTTGAGGGTTCCTTTAAAGGGGTCTATAAGGGTTACTATGAGGGATCTTTACATCAGGAGAACATGAGAGTTACTGGGCTTAGGGTTTCAGGGTTTACGGTTTAGGGTTTAGAAGTTTAGGAATTGGTAGTTTAGGGTTTGGTGCTTGGCAGAGTGGGTCAGGGTTTAAGGTTTGGGCTTCAGGGTGTAGTGGTGCAGCTCTTCCTTGTTGTGACTATGCTATGCTATACGCCAAAACGTTACTACGGGTTTTGGGTTTAGGATTTTGGGTCATAGAGGGGTGTTATCAAACGGTATGGGGTAGGGTTTAGGATGCTTGATGTTTCCTTGCAGTTTCTTCCGTATGTACCATATATATCCGTATTTGGGTCGGTAGAGCTAGGTTCTTAAGCCTACACCTTTCCCCGTTGAACCACGGTAATGTGTCGAGCTAAGTTCCTCAGCAAGAAAACAGGCAGTGACGGTGGCCCTGCAAGTGTTGGCAGAGCTTTTTCTGGGTCTGGGAAGCTGGTTGCTATTTCCGATGTCTGTGCTCCTGGTACACGAAGACAGCCTCATTCCGGCCCTGCCGCTCTGTTTGCTGCTTCTGTTAAATGTCGTCCTTTACAAAAGGGCGGCAGAAGAGAGGGGAAGTGGCTTCCTTGCCGGGAAGCTCTTGCGGAAAAGCCAGTGAGTCTGTGTTTAAACTGGACCGAATAAGCCATAAACGGCTTCGAGTGATATGTTGACTGCATGAGAGTTGCCTGAGGTGTAACTATTTCTGGGGATGCTGCCTTCAGGAAGGTGCCATGTCTCTCGTAGCCTCGTGCAGCAGGCTTAACAGAGGTTTGCAGGTGTCTATCGCAGGGCTTAAATTTGAACGCAGCCTTTGCTTGCAAGTCGCCGGTCAAGAGGAGCATCCCCACGAGGTTGACAGACTCTTAACGCAGAAGTCGCAGCACTTGCTGCGTCAATCACCGCAAAAAGTGGCCAAGAATTGCCCAGGGGGTGCGCTGAAGCTGCTAGGTTCAGGTAGATCGTAAAATATGTTTATATGTAGTAATATCTTTTTAATATGTATATATATATATATATATATATACACATGTGTTTTATATATACACACATATACATATACATATACATATATATATATATATATATACTTACAAAAATTCAAGCACCGCCATTCTCGGGCGTTCAATGTCCGCAGAGGGCCCTCAAGTATGAAAGATCATTTGGGGTAAAGGCTGGAGGTTCTTGGTTGTTGAAACTCTCATGTGATGGAAACCTAATCCTAAACCCTAAACCGTGCTAGTGAGCATCGGAATACCAGCCCGAAAGCTTCAGGCACACTCCATGGGCTAGCAGGGAGCAGACGAGTGCACAGTATAAACTGTTGGTGAAGTCTTATCGCACACTGTAGCTAGTCAGTACACCGTTTCTTCTCGCTATGTGGGTAGTTCTCTAAATTTGGGTCGCTTTTGGGGTCCCCCACATAGTGCAGCACCTTTATAAATGGACACTAGAAGGGGCCCTAATTTCGAGAACTTCCCGTTTCCCTTCGGATATCGCAGAGCTCCTTGAGCATCTCGTCTGCAGATCCCTGCATTCCCAGAGACTCCACTGTCCCTCCCAGGAATATTCCTTAAATCATCTAAGCGATCCTACTATAATCTAAGGTGTATTCCATAGTTAAGGGGCTCTGGGTAACTATCCCCAAAACCGAAATCCTGAACGATTCAAGGCTTAACCCTATAAACCCTTAAACTGCCCATAATTTTGGGATACTGGAGTCTCTGGGCTATTGTGGTCTACAGGTCCCAGGGATGGACGCTGCCTGAAAGAAGGTTGCAGTCCACCAAATGGGGCCCAGACCGGAGTTTTTGAAGCACCGCTGTAATATAGGGGCCTTAGTAATTACCTATACCATATTGGGGGTTTCTTATTATACCAACAGTATATATAATATATCCCAAAACCCTATCCTAATTATTGTGGCCCCTACAGAAGCTCTCTTGAGAGACGAAATACGGCATTTCTTACGTACCCTCAACGCTGGGAGGTTTGGTGTATTCCTGAAGCTTATGGGAGTTTCCGAAAATTAGGGGTACATTACTTTGGTGTCCTTATAATAAGGATCCTACTATGTAGGGTACTATATCGGGGTCCCCTATTTTCGGAAACTCCCTTCTGAGCTTAGAATTAGGACCATGTTCAGGGAGGTGACTCCCCTGCTTCAAGCTAAGCCTTTGACCCTAAAGGGAACTCCAGAAAGGAGGAATATGGTTTCAGGGTAGGATAGCTTATAGTTTGCCATAAAGGGCTTAGGATAATCATATTCCAACTTTCTGGCTTTTACTCTAAACGCCCAGAGCACCCCCCAAGTCTTCTAGTGTGGGTAATGCAGGATTTTGCGGATCAGCTGTGGCCTTTCTTGCATCTGCTCTGGTGTGCTGCACCAGGCTGTATCTACAATTCTCGAACACCAAACCAATCCCAGTGGCAAAGAAAGTTTGTTCTTTGCAGCCTCCCATGTGGTGAGGCTCAGGGTTTCGGCGCACGCGCAAACCCAGACGTCATACTACTTCAGCGGTACTTGCAAGACTTCTTCAAGGTAAGTGTTTACACATCACAGTGACGATTGTCCGATTGCGATGACCAGTTCAACCTTGCGACGCCGAAACGCTGCGGTGATTTTTGTAGAGGCTCTGACTTGGATGTGCGATACGGTTGATGATATAAATCCTGCATTACCGATAATAAGGAATACACCATAATTCCGATAGTCTAGGGTCAGTAAGGTAATGCAGGATTCATATCCTAAATCCCAAACCCCCTATAGATCCCTTAAAGGAACCCCAAAAAGGTACCCCTGTAGATCCCTTTCAAGTCACCCTAGGGATTTATATCATCAACAGTAGAGAGCCTCGCGGAGACGGTCTATTGCTCGCAAAAGCAATTGATCTGGATGGCTGAGTACAGGGACCCAGCATCCTTCATTTTCCCCGGAACCCTAAACCCTACAGCCCCTAAAACCCTTAAAACCACTCCTAAACCCTAAACCCCTAAACCCCTAAAACGCCTAAAACCCCTAGAATCTCTAAACCCCTAAGCTCCCTGAGCCCGTGGGGCTCTCAAGAGGTTTGGGCAAGCTCTGAACTGGTAGTCGCCCAAGCCGAGCTCCCGGCGAAGCCCGGAAGCCACAAATTCCTCCCCGGTTCTGAGTATGGAAGGGGGGGGGTTAGGGTTTGGGGGTTTCAGGGTAGTTTAGGTCTAGGGCAGTAGGGTAGTTCAGGCTTTAGGGTTTTAGGGTAGTTTAGGGTTTAGGGTTGTTTAGGGTTTAGGCGGACCCTTATAATAAAATAGTCCATTAAGGTCCCGTAGAGTAATCCCTGTAGCCCCATTCCCTACTAAGAAACTGGGGAGATTCCTCCAAATCTGGGGGGCTCGAGATGGCGATGAGGAGCTGGGAGGGTTTAGGGTTTATGGGTTTAGGGTTAAGGTCTTTAGGGTTATAAGTTACAGTTTTTGGGGTTACAGGGTTTTAGGGTGCAGGGGTTTAGGGTTTAGGGTTTAAGCCACCCTCCAGCACCTATCGTCCTGGGCAGTATTTTGAACGTCGCAGCTCGGGCTGGGCAGAGGCAGCGGCTGATGCTACGCAGAGTTCTGAAATCCTTTGTACGGGACCCCGCCGACTCCTAAACCGTTCAAACAAGAGATAGTCATGATAGGGTTTAGGTGTTTAGGGTTTAGGGTCTGTAGGGTTGAGGGTTTAGGGTCTATAGGGTTTAGGGTTTAGGGTTTATGAAGTCATATCCCTAAACCCTATGTTCAGGGCATTCATCTTGTTGCCTAGTGAGGGGTTTCGGAGTCTCTGGGGGAGGGTAGACAGACTGGGGCATGGCCCTGTGTGATTCTCCTCCTGGATGTCAACCAAAAAAAATCGAAAACGATTTAGGGCTGAGTGCTTCGGGTTCAATCGTTTACTTAGGATTTAGGGTTTAGGACCCTAATCCCTAAGCCCTAAACCGTTAGGCTCGATAAGTACTAGGATGCCCAGTAGTACCCTTATTCCCTTTCTATAGTCCTAGGTTCCTTATGAAGGTACCCAATACCAAAAAAGAAGCCGTTTTTATTCCCAGGGTTCTCTGGGGTCCCCAAACCCTAAACCCCTATATATCCAGGCAGGGCAACCCTGATGGTACCTTTTTTATTCCTAGGTTACTGGGCATCCGAGAGTACTACGGTTGATGATATAAATCCTGCATGACCCATAACAAGGAATATACCATATTTCCCGTAGTTTGGGGTCATTGAGGTAATGCAGGATTTCTATCCTAAACCCTAAAACCCCCTATAGATCCCTTAAAGGAACCTTAAGTAAAGGTACCCCTTTATAGATCCCTTTAAAGGGAACCCTAGAGATTTCTATCATCAACCCTACCATGATCTCTTACCTTCGGCGGAAGGCCCGGCCCCTGTGGGGCCGGACGGCGGGCCATGGCCGTGGCCAGCAGAAGCCCGGGAGCCTGGTACTATAAGGGCCTTAAAAGGGTTTAGGGTTTAGGGTTTAGGGTCTAGAAAGTAGATCCCCTAATTTGGGGCCCTATACTACTAAGGGTTCTTTATAGGAATCCCCATTAAGGGATCTACTTTTTGGATATACAAAGTAAAAGCCAGAAAGTTGGAATATGATTATCCTAATCGCTTTATGGTAAATTATAAGCTATCCTACCCTGAAACCATATTCCAACTTTCTGGAGTTCCCTTTAAGGGCCTTAAAAGGGGATCTAGAAGGGCTACTATAAGGGATCTATAAGGCCCCTATAGTATAGGGGCCTGTAACTACTAAGGAGACACATGTTTTTGTTTTTGGTCATACAAAACACCAGAGAATATTGACAACATTGTGTTTATTATGGTTCTAAGGGGGGTATATTAAAAGGGTTGCTTCAAGAGGGTCTAGAATGGCTACTAGAAGGGATCCATAAGACTACTATTAATATAGGGGCCTTCATAATTGCCACTACCATTTTGGTGGTTCGTTAGTGTAATGATAGTATAATGGGCCCCAAGACCTTATTCTAAGTATTAAGGCCCCCATAGAATTTTCGATGCATTGCGGCATGCCTTTTGGGGGTGTTTAGAGGGTTTTAGGATTTAGGGGTTTTTAGGATTTAGGGGTTTTAGCGATTTAGGGTTGCGGGGATTTTGGGGTTTTAGGGGTTGGGATGGCAGGCTGAAGGGACACTGTTTGGCGAACGTAAGCTGATCTAACTCACTGTGGAACGGAGACTGGAAACTGAGATGCCTCGCAGCTCAGCGCAGCTCTTTTCGAAGGCTTCTCATTCCCCGGTCCCCAGTCCCATCCTGCTTTCTTGTCCGCCATGGCTGCCAGCGCCGCAGCACTCCGACCATTGGACTCCGTCCCCAGCCTAGGCAAGGCGTTCCTCTTCACGGCCCGGAGTAGCTAGGTGGCACTTTGGGAAGTTTTAGGGTTTAGGGGTACGGGGTTTAGGGTCAGGCAAAGGTCCCTATTCATAGGGGGGGTGAAGGTTGAGTTGAGTTACCATCACCAGGTAGGCTCTGTGCAGCGCTGATGCAAAAGGGTAGCGAGCACCCACGGATGTTCCGCATGCACCTGGGGCCAAAGACTGCTTGCGTGGTGACTCACCCGGAGATAGCCAGATCGGTGCTGACGCGCCCGAAGGACTTCATTAAGAGAGAGATCCCACGGAACCCGGCAAGTGCTCTCCAGACCCTGCTCCACTGCAACAAGGACGGCACTTACAGCATTGGCTTTGCCAACGGCAAGGACTGGGCCGTGCTGAGGGAGCCCGTTGCGCCAGTCTTCGAGAAGCAAGCCCTGCAGAATCTCCTGCCCAAGTTTAACGACAGCTCTGAAAAGCTTCTGGAAACATGGAGGGGCGCAGACGAGGTGGATGCCAAGCAGGACATGTCCCGTTTCGCTCTGGACGTGCTTGGATCGGCTGTGCTGGGCCAGAGCTTTGGCGCCATTGATGGTTCCTTTACTGACACCTACGCCCACTACCAGTATATCATGGCCGAGCAGAGCAACCCCATCTACATGTCCTTCCCCTTCATGGAGCGCCTGCCCACCTCTCGCAACCGACGCCTGAGGCAGTCAGTGCATCATTTGCACGGCGTCCTGCAAGGTGCAATAGATGCCCGCGTCCAGCTGCGTCGGGAGCAGCAGGCAGCAGGCACTCTTTCGGAGGAGCCACAGGACATGCTTGACATGCTGCTCGGTCCGGGCGTAGATGTGCCCAAAGATGGAGTTCTGCCGAAGGAGGGATCCTTGGTGCCACTGCTGTACGTCTTCTTCCTCGCCGGGCACGACACCACCGCGGTCTCCCTCGCCTGGCAGATGTACTTCCTGGCGAAGTATCCTGAGGTCCAGCAGAAAGCTCGAGAAGAGGTTCAGGGGATTCTGGGTGGTCGGAAAGATCCCACGGTTGAGGACCTGGAGAAGGTGCCCTACCTGTCTGCTGTCATCAACGAAGGCCTCCGCATCCGTCCGCCGCTCTTCAACCTCTACACTCGGCAAGCAGCCCACGATACAGAGCTCGATGGCGTCTTCATTCCGGGGGGGACGCACATTTCGCTGCACATCGCTGCCATCAACAAGCACCCCGAGGTTTGCTTTCTCACAGTTGGGTAGAGCATTTTACATGTCTATGGCCACTCAGAGCCAATAATCAATCAACCTGTACATTTTCAATACGACCCCAACAATGAGCCCCAAAACGCTAAACCCGTGCAGGCCGCTGTCTTTGGAGAAAAGGAGTTCAACAAAAAAACGCCCCAAGCCTCCGAGGTTTGGGGGGAAGCGGAAGACTTCAACCCGGAGCGATTCCTTCAGGAAAAGCAGCCGAGGGTCTTCCACAACCTCCCGTTTGGCGCGGGACCTCGCCGTTGCATCGGTGACAAGTTCTCCTTGATGGAGCAGAAACTAGGTGGCAGTTTGGGAAGCTTTTTAAGTCCCCTTTATGGTTTCTATAGAGGTGCCTATTCATAAATGCTCTCAAGGGCTCCTAAACGACAAACCCTATACCCTAAACCCTAAACCCTAAGACAACCCAGGAAATCTCTCTTGATGAAGCTCCTCACGCAGTACAAGGTTCTCCCGCACGAGGACACAGTCGACGGCGAGGAGAACTTTACCTCCAGCGTCTGGGCTCTTGTTAAGGGCTTTTATGTCAAGTTACCATAGTAGGGATCTATAGCTGAAGTAGCTAATAATAAGGTTTCCTTATCATGGTAACTTTACCTAAGCTCCTTAACAAGAACTATTTTGAGTTACTTTATTGGGATCTGCAGTAACTAACAAGGTTCCCTTAGTATGGTAACTAAAACTATAGTAGAAGCCAGAAAGTTGGAACGTTAGCATCCTCATGCCCTTAAGGTAAAGTATAAGGAATCCTCCTAAACCAATGTTCCAACTTTCTGGGATTCACTACTTGGAGGGTCGGGGGACTTAGTAACTGGTTCTTTTAGGGACGTATAAGTACCATAACCCCAATTAGGGCCCCTTCTAGGGTACTTATAAGTCTACTTACTACCTACTTACTAAGTCTCCCGACCCTCCAAGTATAGGCTCCTTAGCAACAACCCAGGCATGCTCGGAATGCTCTTCCTGCAACCAGAGGAGATGAAGGTCCGATTGCAGCCTGTGCAGTGATGTGCTGAGAGCTTACCTTTGGTTAGTAGGGAATAAGCCCTAAACTAAACCCAAAACCCTAAACCCTAAACCCCTAAACCCTAAACCATAGTTATAATTGTACCACATTCCTCCATTCCCTACTAACCAAAGGAAGAGGATCTGCTGAGAGGTCGGCCCACTTGGGTGATAAGTAGTTATAAGTATAGGTACCTTACTGATAACCCTAGATACTAACTCTCATGATCCTTTAAGCAGATGCTCTCGTGTTTAATCACCAAATCCCTAGAGTCTGGACATTTTTGAAGTTAGAGCTTTGAGGGCTCTTCTTTTCGCTGCATGGTACGCCCGTCGTGCCCCGATTAACGCACGACGCGATGCTCCGTGCTTTTTCCATGTCAGTTCGATGTGCATCCTTCCCCCTGGCCCTAACTTTTTCCCAAATCCTGAACCCTAAACCCTAAACCCTAAACCAGAAAACCGAAGCCTCGAACCTTAAGTCCTAGACCCCAAAAGGCCCGAGCTGGAGATGGAGAGCTAAACCAGGGACTCTACGCCCAGAGCTCAAGCCCTCCTCTTGGCCCCCGCTTGCCCACATCCTCCACGACCGTGTTTCCGACTCCCTGATGACTCAGTGCCCCTTAAAAGCAGCCCTTGTGACACTCTGGAGCCGAAATCTTCCTTTTCACCTAGCCTGGCGGCCCAGAGCCAGCGTGCCGGAGCGATGGAAGGGTACCTTTGCTTGCGCGGCTTGCGCGCAGAAAAAATGTCTGCTGGCCGGCGGGGCTACGCAAGCTACGTGCCGCTTGAATTCTTCGCCTGCTTGCTCTGAATACTTCGTTGCGACGCTTTGCCAGTGCCTTCTAACATGATCAGCTTTGTAAATCGCGAGTACGCACTCTCCCTCGTAAGAGGATTCTGTCAACACCCGGCTCTATGAATTAGGAGAGCCCACAGCCCTAAACCCCAAAGCAAACCCCTAAAGCCTAAACTTCTAAACCCTACTCTTGGAGTCCAAAGCCTCTGATTGTACAACGGGTGCCAAGCTTAAGTCGATGTTGGCAGGAAGTCCAGTCGTCTGAATGCCTGCTGCACGCGGTGCTTGCCTGGGCCCCGGAATTGTTCCCAGACCTTCCAAAACCCCTTAATTCAGGAATAGCCTGGTGAACTCTTCCGGATGGCCCCCCGATCTGGATGCTTTGCCAACGCCAACTTTCGATATACCTTAAATTATAGGAGGATCCGTAATATGATTTCAGATGTACTCCTTAACTAGAGGATTTTGGAAGGTCTGGGTTGGGCCATATCAAAGTGTCCTATGAGGACGAGTCCTGGGCGGCTCATGGTGGGATATTTTGCTTAGATTGGGATGCATCTGGCGTGGAGCCGCTTTCTATGTGGATGCCCAAACCCCAAACCCTAAGCCCTAAGCCCTAATCCCTAAACCCCAAAGCCTCTAGAACCCTTAAAGGACCCCTTCAAGGAACCCTGAGACCCTGAACCCTAAACCTTGATTGTTTTCGCAGCTGCCCTTTGGACATCACAGTCACGTCATGCGTTGCTTGGTTTCGCAAGCACTTTCATGCGTCAGGTCTTTTGTACAAGGTCCCTGTGCCGCATGCCTTGGACAGTAACCTTGCAGACTTGAGGGCCAACAGCTCGGGGCACTTTAGGATTTAGGGTTTCGGCCTAAACCCTCAACGTTTTGCAAGCAGCGTTTAGGTATCAGGCGAGTTCCCTGCACTTGGTCCGTTTATCTTGGGGTGGATCCCTCGGTCAGAGGGACGGTCTTGCAGTGCCTGCCCCCTCTTCTTAAAGGATCATGGGACTTAGTAACTAGGGTTATAAGTAAGGTAACTATACTTATAACCTCAATGAAGGTACTTATAACCTTAAAGAACTTACTTACTAAGTCCCATGACCCTCCAAGTTTGCGGCCAGCACGCCAGTAGCCCACGCAGGGCAACTCACGATGCATTCTGTAGGCACTGATTGGGTGACAGGGTCCGAGACTTGCTTGGCAAGATTCTTGGGTCTTTCTGCTCCCCCTCTACTATCCCTTACCCTCATATGGTACCCTAAACAGTAGGATCCTTCTTATAAGGACCCCCAACATACGGTACAGGGACCCCCTACTATCCCGTTAAAGCTTCGTTGTATCCCCTGGGTGCCTTAAAGGGGCCTCGGTCTCAGAAAGTCTTTCCTGAGTCGGAGCGGCCGGTCGTTGATGAGTTGAGGGTTCAGGGTAAGTATGGGGGCCGAAACAATCAGACAAGCTACTTTGGGGGGGGTTCCTCGTTCTAAGTATACTGTTTTCTACCCTAACACCCGAATGCTGCGGCCACAGACTCTGAATCCTACGGTTGATGATATAAATCCTGCATGCTGCAAAGTAAGGAATAGACAATAATTCCCATAGTTTAGGGTCATTAAGGTAATGCAGGGTTTTTATCATCAACCCTAGAGCCCTCTCAGGCCGCAAGGTCGCATGGGTTCAGTGGGCCAGTCGAAACTTGTGGTTCGCTGTTCCCGTGCTGTTGAGGGGTTCTTGTTTTTCCTCGCCGCTTTTTCCCGGGCCGCCGCTCAAGGCGGCTGCAGCCTTTTAGTCTGCCTGCTGACGCAGCAGCCAATGAATCTTGAGTCAACCGCCCTGCATCCGAAACCCCTTACGCGAGCCATCTCCCACATTATTACGCGAAGCACTTTTCAAATTTTTGCACCAAACCCGAAGCTCTCAACCCTAAGCCTGCCAGAAGAAGGAGCGCTCACTCGAGGCCTATGGGCAGTGTGCAAAGCTCAGCCGGTGGCGATGAGGTGGCACCCCCGCCACTGAAGAAGTTGAAAACGGGTGGAAAGGAGGTGTCACCACCACCAAAGGTGCTTGAAGTCAAGTCACCACACTCCTTTCTGGAGTGTGATGGAGTCTATGACCTTCTTGCCTGGAAGGCCAACGGCCAGCACATCTGGAAGCAGCGCGGGGGTGAGCGGTGGCTCTACTTCAACAATGTTGGTCGCTGGACGGTGGGCGACGAAGAAGAACTCAAGAACAACTTTGACTGTACGGATGGCTACATCAGGCACAGGCAGAAAGATTGGAAGCTCTCCCCGGACAAGATGCCAGCCGGAGAATGGGAGTACACGCCCGATGGCTGCGGATGGCAACATGACCCAAGGATAGTGGTGGAGACGCCAAAGTCCTTCTCAGGCACGAACTACAAGAAGAAGTACAAAGATGCTCAGGCGGCTACAGACAAGTACGAATTTGCACAGATATTCTTCAACTTTTTGGACATGATAGCCGAAGAAGGACAGAAGATCAGCAAACACGAGATCAAAGATATGAAAAATGAGGTGATGTCCAAGGCTAGAGACTTTGGGGACATGAGCAAGCTTGCCACGTACGTTTGGACTCTGGCCACACCCCTGGGGGGCAGGGAAGTTTGCAGCTACATCAATGAGATCATCCGCGAAGACCAAGAGTACAAGGTGAAGACTCTCCTGCCCCTGGTGCGCACTATCAATGAACTACTGGTCCAAGAAGTGCTTGTCAAGGCCCCCAAGAATCACACGACCTATCGAGGTTCAAGAATACCTCATGACAGCCTCAAGTTCTTCCAGGCGAAGCGGCAGTACCGAGTCAACATGTTCCTGGCCACCTCCGATGACAAGAGAAAGGCTCAGGAGTTTGCTGAAGGTGCGGAGGGGACCGAAGTGCCCACACTCTTCCATGTACACTGGCATAAGGACAACGGATGCATTCATGTGAACTATTTGGAGCACATCACGGCTGTCAAGAGCGAAAGGGAGTACCTGTTCCCGCCCTACTCTACTTTCACGGTCATGCAGATGGCTAAGAAGCAGGGCCGCTTCTACGTCATTCACATCTTTGCTGAGCCGGACAATAAGAGCTGCTCTGAAGAGTTGCCTTTGTCATCCTGGCACTGATGCTCTCCGTGATGCATTCAGGGCTTGGGAGCTTATAGACTGTGCTTCTGGACTTTTATAGGGCCCCAAAAAAGCACATGAGCAAAAATTAGGATAGGGATATCCCATACAAGCCCCCTTATAAAAAGGCCCAATATGGTAGAGATATCCCCATAAAATGCTTATGCTTATGTGCCTTTTTGGGTCCCTATTTTAGAGACTTGTCAGGATAGGGTTTACGTTTCTAAGCCTAGGGCGGGTCATGCAGCTGCTTTCTCGGTGTCTGCTGCGATTTGCATACAACCGCAGATCTTGTCAGCGCTAACGGTCTTTTCATTTCTCATCCCCGAAGCGTGCGCGAAGTGCACTGCACATGGCAAAATCCGCACGTTGACGCAACGACGAAGTTTCACTTAAGTGAAACTGATGCCTGGAGCGTTTTTCCTTGTCTTGAAAAGGAACCCCCAGCCGCGACTCAGCAGTGACTTGATCTCCTCAAGCTTGGTTTGCACTCAGCCGCCCAATTTAAGCTGCCGAGGAAGGGCTGCGCCGAGCCCGGAAGCATGGGAGCCTCGGGATTCCGAGGCCCCCGCCAGGGTTTGTAAGGTCAGCAAGTTCCCAGAGACTCCAATATCTCTTAGTTCAGGAACATACCTTAAATTATATTAGGGATCCTAATTAAGTGTAAGGTATATTCCTTATTTAGATCGTTTTGGAGGCTTAGGGAGTTAGCAACAAAAGCCACGTGGTATGTGCTGGCATCTGGGTCCCCACCGTCCACCTCAACTGTGGGTTTGGGGTTTAGGGCTAAGGCGTTTAGGGGTTCAGGGTTTAAGCTTTAGGGTTTAGGGTTCATGATTTCCCAAGTTTCACATCGTAGTCGCTGATAAGCGGAGGTTGCGGTCTGAAATGTTAAATGTAAGGGCCTTGATTAGGATATGGTTGTGGGGCCCATTATTCAAGGCTTTCCCTTGCCATGCTCCCTCAAGGTGCGTGCTTCAAGGATTTCAACGTGCCGCCTCGATGGTTCAGATTCTGCATGTGGCATCATAAGAGAGTTGCAATAATCAGTGTTCATAGGGCATAGCAGCTCTGGACATCGGCAACAAATGAGCATTGCATAGATGGCAGCAGCGGCAAAAGCATTGCAAAGGTGAGTGGAAATCATTCATAGGGCGGTTGTCACGACAAACATAACGACAAGCATGGATACCAGTGCAATGGCAATCCCTTTTTTGGAAAGGGCACGGCGGGAATGCCCTTATGTTTTCGAGCCTGGGTACCAGATGGACGATGCTTCTGGGTTGATGCGAAGGGAAAGGTTCATCCACTTTCTGCAGTACGGGCACTCGTTACTGTCCGCTGCTGTGCACAATGTGCCTCAGTTTGCACTGGTGTCTGAGGGTAGAAGTTGGACAGTGAATCGTAACTAGGAAGCCACCTGACCTCAGGAGGGCATCTCCACGGCCGACATCATCGGCATCGAGGACTCGGAGTCCATGGAAACCGAGCAAGGGCAGAACCTCTGCCTTTTGATTGCATGTTGTTGGTTCGCAGTTTCCAATATTATGTCCGGGGGCTACCCGCTGGCTAGGCAGCACTTCTCACTCTGAGGTCTGCAGATGTGCTCCAGAATATATCCTGGGGGTTTGCTGTATATTATGTGCCCCGGATGCATTTCATTCGGCTATACAATTAGCTCCCTCTCGCTTCCTGAATCCAGAATGAGCTTGAGGCTTTTCCGGCATAACTTTTGCTGCAACGACACGAAGGACAAGGTGGCCGTGACTTGGCTGTTTTTGCAGCCAATGCCTTTGGTTTGTTGGGGATTGAGACAATTGAGGTCTTTGTGGGCAACTTGCTGCGGTTCGCGGAAATGATTGCTGTGCGGTGTGTCATTCATTTGCCGGTCGACGGCGCCAACTTCTTTGAGCGGCACCCGGCTTTGCAGGACTTTTTAGATTGGGTTTTGATAGCTTCACCGTCGGTGATTTCAGAATGGAGTGGCTTTCATTCGTTCTTGAAACAGGAGGCCGCTCAGCGCCTGGGCTTTGTGAAATGCCTCTTCCCGATGTCCTCGTTCGGTTGCCAGACTCAGCAACTGGGACTCCGGGACAAGTGGTTGGTGAAGAGGTTTGTCAGTGAGGTTTGTCAGTGTCTGAAATTTCAGTTATGTTCATACATGAAAACCTAGGTCCCCGACGACTTTGTGGGGCACCGATAAGTTCGTCATCAAAGGTGTGAAGCACGTTTCTGCCAGGGTCATGACCATGCTGCTTGATTGGAATCTGTGTATGTGTCCTTGCACTGACGGTGTCCGGTTCTCATGCTTGCTGATGTGCCAGCTGGTCTCAGGTTCCCCGCTTTGTGCAATCGGCGAATGAAGGGTATCCCATCGACTATGGCCCACTTCGGCTATCACACGGGCACGTTCACCTATTGTGCCACTTGCCTGCAATCTACAGTTGTCTGTGGCTTGGCTGGTCAGTGTGTGGTTTGGCGATTGAGGTATGCGACTTGGTGATGGTACGGCACCGCCGGAGTGTCCGGGACTTGATGGGCATGAATATCTCCGGGTGGCTGGAGGACTTGGCAAAAGATTTGCTGCTCCAGGCCAGTGTAGCCAAACACATTGTGGCATACAAAATAGGGGGATGATAGTCTAAATGGAGATGCGATGATTTGTGCCGGGTCCAGGACCTTGACCACGGCTACATGCTGCTGCCCATGCACGGCAACCCTTATGGTAATCATGCTCGCCGGAACATTACTTTTGAGGCGACTTCTCTCTCTTCATGTTTTGTTCTCGTGCCTGCTAGATCCTAGATTCGTTGTCGATCCATGAGAAATCAGGAAGCCGACCTGTTTGTGACGCTGCCAGCGAATGCCGCTCCGCCGGCAGTGCCACGGCTTGTCATGTGCTCGCTACATTTCGTTGGGATATGTGCTGCTCTTTTTGCTTTTTTGTTCTGGGCGGCTGGGGTTTTCGGGTCTGCTGAGTCCACCCTCACTGTGGCGGATGCTGTGGGCGAGGACTGCCCTCTCTAAACCTTTCGGCCAGAGTTTGTGGGATTTGTGGGATTCAATTCAAATCACCATTGTGCAGGTATGGGAGATTCTCGGGTGATGCTGGCGCCGATTCTTGCAGCACTTCGTTGGTGTTCGGGTTGCATGGTACGATTTCATAAGATTCCCGCACGGCAACATGGCAACCAAGGACTGCGATTTTGCATATGATGTGCATTGGCCGGCAACGCATATCGGGTTTTGATGAGCCATGGTTGCACTCGTGTCAGGTCTAAGCATAGAGATTTCTTGATTAATCAGGGTGTAATCGGCTATCATTGTAGCTGACACACGAGAGTACTCAAACTTCGGTGTGGGCTGCTTTTTGGTTCATAAGTTCTAGAGATTCTAGAGTGACTACAATTAGATTAGTTTACAGAAAAGGAGTATTCACAAAACAATACTACGCAGCACGTGGTACACACACATACTCGATCAAACCGGCAAGCCATATTCCTAGCATAAGCTTCAATTTCAATAAACTAATCAAGTAGTATACTGGACAATTAATGATTAATTAGTGGACAACAAGCACTAAGCTGCAAACCCGAAGCCCGAACCCGCCACTGCTTTCATTGTTCCCTGAAACTTAGCCCGAGGAGCTAATTATTTATATGGTGGCAAATATCCTGGCAGCCACCTGTGCCTGTGGCTCTTCGAACGATTTTGGGCTGCACCTTGCTCGCTTAATGGATGGCTTCGGTTAGACAATAATATGGGTCTGGTGATCACGCCAGGACGGACGTATGTCGTTCGCTTTTCTGTGCCGCAACGACCTGGGTCGGATTTTGACTTCTGCCGATCTGAGACTGCCACCAGCAGCCTGGGAAAGCATCCTAACTTGTAACCTCTGGAACTTAGAGCTGCAAGCTTTCTTTCAACGATTCGGGCTGCTGGGGGGTGCAATTTAGGGCCGTAGTTTCTTGGGGTGTTCTAATCTAATATGTGTTCGGCTTGCTAGTTATGACACTGATGCTTCTTGCTATCGTTGTTTCCATTGTTTGCGAGAAAGATCATATAGCACATTAGCACAGATAGTCTCCGGCTACTGACTAATTAGGCTTTGTGCTCCGAACATGACTGGGGCCTTTAGGGTGACTCCATCCGGTCTCGGCTGCTCGGTTGCAGAAACAGGCTGCAGCCACCACGTGGGCCGTCTCGCTTGCTCAGCTTTGCATCCTCAGCCGATTGCCGGCAATCCCATCATGTGTCAGCCGCTTGCTTCCTTTAGGACTTTTGGCTTCCGCAGATCTGTAGGACTGTAGGACCTCTACGACCTATGTCGTTAACTCCCGGGACCCAGGTTCCTATGAATGAACAACCTGAAGTTGCATCCCTGAATGGCTTCCAAGCTGTTGAACAAATTGGGTTGCTTTGGCTAGCTACCCTGCTGTGTCGCACCTTCGTTCGAGCCCCGGCCATAGTTTCTGAAGACATGAAGAAGACTGGGAGTCGAAATGGGCTTTCAAGGACTTTCGGCTGCAATTGATGTTATTCTGGGGATTGGGTGCAATGCTTCGTCGGGCTCTGGTCCAAATGTTCCGGTTCTCATTATTACTCAGCGGTACTACCTCCCGTCCTTCCGGATTCGTAAATGAATAATCACGGACGAAGTATTCCTCTATCTGAATAGGTGAATAATATTGCTATGGAATAATAATATAATTTTGAACTGATCGTAATTCACGGGATCAATATCCCTAGGCCTAAATCTTAAAACACTGAAACCCACTCAGACTAATTAATCCTCAAACCACTAGAACTCTAAACCCCAAAACTATCATGAAATTGAACTCTGCGAAACAGGACACTCTCCACGAAGTCCCTGGCGGCTTCAGAGCTGGAGGACGGCAGCGAGGCAAAGACCTTCTTGATGAGTGCAGCCAAGAGAAGCTTGGAAGAGGCTTTCGAAGGCCAGAACCCAAAACGTGGGTAGTGCTTCATCCTCTAATTCTGCTGTTGACTACTGACGCATGGACAATCGCACGCAACTTGGTTGTGTCGCACCAGGTGCTGATCCTGCTGACAAGGAGAAGACGAAGTCAGCCAAGAAGGATGATAAGAAGGGAAAGAAGGAGAAAAAGGAGAAGAAAGAAAGCAGGGCTGAGAGAGAGAAGAAAAAGAAGAAAAGAGGCCCGGTTCTCGATACTTCGTTTCTTTGTTAGCAAGGCTCGGTTGCTAGTTCATCGGACACTTAGGCTCTTCCTCGGATGAGAAGGAGAGCGACTCTGACTCCTGTGAGTCGCAGTCTTCGCACGGCTTTTTTTCGGAGATCCAGGCCATGTTTTGTCTTCGCCAGAAGGACTTGATGAGGCAGAACGGGCAAGACAGGTTGGATGATCTGTCGACGAGGCAGATCGCCTTTGTGGTCTCCGGCGCCGGGGCTGGCTCCTACTTGGGGGCGGCCGATCTCCAGGAGATTGGCGGTGAACTCGAGCCTAGATTGCAAAAGTCCCTTTGTGGCCAGCCCCTGTCTGCAACTCGTGATCCGTGTGTGGGGTGTGCTTGCCGGACGTTATCCATCTGGGGTCTTCTGCTACTGTGTTTTTGCTTCGTCTCTCCTTGTGTGACTACTTTGCCCTTTCTCGCCCCTCAAGCAGATTATTTCCGGTGTTACACCAATAGCTACAGCTCGCTGCCACTTCCATCAGTCAGTCGTCTTTCACAGAGAGATCCAAGGAAGCAGTCCACAGCGACAGGGCACAGCACGCCAAGAAGACCAAGCAGAAGCTGGAGGAGAACCAAGCAACGGCACAGGCACGGAGGAGTGAAGAGAGCTGAGACTGAATGTCGTGCAAACAACAGCAAACACACTCACGCCAAGCTGCAACAACGAACCGCTTGCCCTTGATACATCTCGCAGGCTGCCTTGGCTAGCACGTTGTGGCGGAAGCGACTCGCGAGCTTATTGCAGCTATGTGCTTGCCTCGGCTCCCAATAAACATAACATATAGACTAGTTGGGATTTTCTGAGTTTCAGGGTTAGGGCTGTCGGTTTCAAGGGTTGGGGATCCCTGGTTCGCTGACATTAGTTTTGCAAAGCAAGGGCTGGCAGCAGGTTTGGAGGCTGCAAAATATGTACTTGTTATTCTTACAGAGTTAAGGCTAATTAGTTTATAGATCTAGAATCTCATTAGATTAGAATTAAACAACGGAGGCCCAAACCCCGACCCTAGAGAACAAACCCCAGTACATGAGCCCAAGCCTAGGCAAGGTTCCCAGGACATGTAAAAGACACTCGGGGTGCCTGATTCTTGGGAATAAAGCAATCTGTCAGCAGCCGGTCTCGTGTGCATGGACAAGGTCAAACGTCAGATGTTCATAATAATCATATAGTAACCCATAAACCTCTCGTAGTTCGCACACCTGGTCTTGATGATAGTCTGACAGCTCAGCTCACAAAGCCAAATACTGCCTCTCTGACCATTGCCACATTTTTGCCCAAACCCTCGCATTGAAGTCAATCCTCAAGACTCAAGCTACTTCTTACGAATAAAATGAAGTCCTGGTCCCCCACAGCCCCGAAACTCTAAAACCGAATCTTGGAATTCTAGACTAGGCTTTCCCGACTGCAAAACCCCCGGACTTTCGACCCAGCATCGAGATCTGATGATGCTCCAGACCACCATACCTTCGATTGTTTGGGGCTTCAATTACGGGGTTTTGACCTGGTTCAGGTTTTACTGGTGTTGTTTCTAAGGAGGCAGCTTTGATAGAGGAGTTCCAGGATGTTTGGCCGGGGATAGGATTTATGTGGTGTCAGGGTTGGGTGTTAGGTAGTCCGTAGTTATTTAGTTAATTTAGAGTACGTAAATTGAATTTTAGTAAGAGTGTGGAAGTCTTAGAATCAATGTACTGCAAAAGCCAGGCAAACATTAACTAATCCGAAGGCTAGCTATCACTCACCGGGCCATTTCTCTGGTTCAGGGCTAGGAGTCCTGAGGTTCGACTTTGGGAGAATTTACGAGTTACCGACTTGGGCGGGCTGGGATCAGGTTGGTAGGGTTCCCAGGGTAGGTCCTCAGAAACAAAGAATACAGTAGTATTGGGTCAAACCATACCTAGCTCCAATACTTCTCTTGTTGTTTACAGTAGCGAAATCCGGAGGCACGGGCCGCACTCTCGGCTCTGTCACCATCGTGCAGTGTGCGACCCTGGTGGATACGGCAAAGATGCTCCGGGCCATGATTCGCCGGCAGTGCAGGCAGTTTGCGGGTGGGTAGTAATAGTCCTTTTGCTGCAAGCAACGGACCCTGAACTTTCCAACTAATCTGCCCGATCGCTGCGAGAACTCGTAATGGCCTGCTACCAGAGTTGCCCCGAAACTTCTTAACCACAACCCGGTTTGAAGCTACATGCCCTGTACGCCCCAGCCCCCAAAACAATCCTAATGCTCTGTGCAGGAAGAAGGACTGGAAGAAGCATCACCTGGAAGCCACCCTGGAAGCCGAAGTCGAGAAGTATCGCAAGGCTGCTCCCTGCTAGTCTATGGTATATATATATATATCACCCCACAAGACTGCTGGCCAGGAAGCAACCAAAGATCTCCAGTCGAGCCTGAAGAGCTCCAAGAAGCAGGGCAAAGCCAAGGACTTCTTCGTGCGCTAAGTAGACAGCAAAAGCTTTTGTCGTTTGCTGCTGATCTAGACTACAACACAATCCTAGTTTTCCGATCTTGCAGGAGGAGCCCGCGAAAGCCCCGAAGACAAAGGCTAAGACTCCCACAGGGAATCGCAAGGAGGAGCAGGAGGAAGAATCTGATGATCCCCCGGGAGAAGATGATGAACCAAATGGTGATGATGATGAGGAAGATGACGAAGGCTTCAAGGAGGAGGGCTGGCCAGCTTCGGGCGACGACGGCGACGACGACGACGATGATGATGATGATGGTGGTCGGGGCAAAGGGAAACCGGCTAAGGGGAAGGAGCCGGGAGAGGAGGAGGGAGAGTCTTCGGATGGAGACTTGTTTGACGGCAAGTATGGCCGCTCGAAGGTCGACACGCCGCAGGCCAAGACGCAGACGGCCGAGACACTGTTGCAGAAGCTGAGCCCACAGATTCAGAAGCAAGCCCAGAGCATCGAGCAGTCTGTGCTGAAGTCATTGCCCCAAGACATCCCCATGTAGCCCAACTGATATAGTGCAATCTGATTTGTGTTTGTTGGGTGTACTTACGATACTGCCTTACGGCCTGGATCAATTGTCCAACTTAGGCAAGACTTTTCCCTGTTGGTGCAGATCTTGCTGAAGGAAGAGGTGTATACTATGGAATCCCTCCTGGACTGCCTTGACCTGGATGGAGGCTAGTAAGTAACTAGTACCCAAAAGGCCCCAGCCCTAGAGATTGTGTCGTTGTTCCGGCAGGCGGCTTTATCGGGAACCTTGGGGAGTCCAAGAGCCTTTATTCTCGCCTCAGTGCTTTGGCCAAGAAGGCTGCGAAGATTTGGCAAAACAAGCTTATTGAATCTCAGGCCTGGCCAAGGGCTGGGTTGGGTTTATTCAGGAGGGCTTGCTTGGTTCGGTTTCAGCTACCTACCACATAATAAACAATTCCGGCTCTCTCCTGAATGCTTTGCCAGGCGACCCCGGCTCGCCCGTCGAAGCCCGCGGAACTCAGCACCTGAGCTGTGTTCCCTCTCTGTGGAGAGGGGCATTGAGGGGGGCAGTTTTGTGAGAGGCCAGGCTTCCTGTGCCTCGTTTGGAGTTTGGTGCTCTTGATAGAGTCGAAGCTTCGGGGTCCATGAGGTCTGCAAAACGAGTGCTGTCGAAGAGCCCTGCACTTCTTGCTGCAATCGTGAGACTGTTGAAATCGTTGCCTGCAGCCTTGTTCTGAACAACCTCGTTGTCCGAACCGCTGAATTTTCGAAGCTGCTTATGGGGTCTCGTGAAGACAAGTCAGATATGCAATATAAGGTTCGGGTAGTGTTTCTTCGATGGGTTCTAACATTGAGAAAAAGGTGTTTGGATGGGTATAAGTAAGTTAGATACGACTATTATTAGTTGGGTTACAACAGAAGACAAAGACGCCAGAGCTTCTGCAGTAGCTCATTGACAGATAGGCCCGATCTTGTTGATCAGTAGCCAAAACCCTACTAAACCCTAAAAAACCCCTAACCCTTAAGCCCTAAACCCTTCACTACTTTAATGCTAAACTAGGCCAGAAATCATTCCTGTTTCGATAAACATCTACAAATTCATGCACCCGAACACTAGAGCCACGGACCCCTGATTCTTTGGAGTAATTGGGTGGCAGCGAGCTACCAATTACTCCGAATCCGAGACTTGGTGGCACTGGCTCACTAAATGCTGTTGTGGGTAAGGTCTGTTATATGTTCCGGGAGATCTAGTTTGGTTTATGTTTCCTTTGTTTTCTTGGGGCCGGGGCTTTTCGTCTTCCAGGAGTACTAGACCGGGTGCCTGGGTGTTCGCTTTTGGCTGGGCTGCTGGGGCTCGGGGCCAGTTCCTTCATTTTTAGTAGCGAAGAGGGTTCTTCGTGGTTTTTGGGGGCCTTGAGCGTGCTGCCTGGCATGCTTAACGTGCCACCTCGTCCCGACAAACCCTGTTACGCACCGCCTCGTTCTCTAACGTGCCCGCTCAAACCCAACGTGCTGCATGAGGAGTTTTCCGCCCGCAACGTCGTACTACGTAGCGAATGCAAAACATCGAGGCGGCATGCAAATATCCTTAAAGCCCGCAAAAGTGCCTAGACAAGAAAACGCCGAGGCATCCCTCAAAAAAGAGCGTGCTCCCTCAATTCCCCAGAATGCGTGCCAGCTCGAATTGTCGGCCCCTGCACCACCGAACCCGACGCCAATCCAACGTGACCCCTCATTGAGACAGCACTCTCGGTTCGCCGTGCCACGGCCCGCACCGTGCCCAGGAATGCCAGAGGCGAGATGGTTCACAGCCAGGCTGCAGGAGATCGCCCAGTGCCTTGGATGAGAGCAATTGGTACCTAGAGCGTGCCACCTGAACCCTCAACGTGCCGCCTCAAAATCCAGCGTGCTGCCTCAACTGCATTTCAGTTAGGGAATTTAAGACAGCAGGCATCCTGTTATCCGAGGAGCAAAACCCAACCGGCTGCTGAAGAAGCCAGAGTGAATATGTATCGTAAAATGCAATTCATCGATCAATGCCTTCGGGATGGACGGCCTTTGGGGGAAATGGCCGTGACACCCGCATCCTGGGAGGTTCTGTGTTTGCACACAATGTTGTACTGCTGGCTGCTTCGCTTTCTGTGAATCAGTGAAAATACAGCCTGGTCGCCCAGGATCTGATTGATTCCTTCCGGGCTAGATGCTTGGAGATGAAAGTGCCTTTGCGACCGAGATTATTTCCTGCTGAAGCCCCGCAAGCTCCTGCTTCAGAAGCAGCCGAGCCTGCCAGCTCTGTTAGTGATGGTAGCCCTGGAAGCAGCTACTGCGAGTTGCAAACACTATATCTTGATTGCCGGGCCGCCGTCAAGGGTGTGCTGCAGCTCCACAAGGCTTTCCTAGGATAGTACTAAGTTTAAACAAAAAAACGGACGATCTGATTCTGCCAAGCTCCCCTGCAGATTGTGGAGACGGACCTCCAGGGCTACACTTTCCTCTGGAGGGTAGAGGAGGCATGGCAAATTATGAAAAGACAGACGGCTTTCCATAATTGGTTCACGAAGATGTACCTTGGATTATTATGGTGCCAGGGTTTGAGTACTTCGTCCATGCGACATATGTAACCAATTTGCCTAAGGCAAGAACTCCAGGGCGCCCAATTGGCCACCGAATGGCGGGTGTCGCTCCCCGTGCATTTCATTAGAAAACAAGATTATCGTGGCAAAAAAAAACTGTACTGGAAGACCGGATACGAATCAGCTTCGATGCCCTCACCACACCCGGTCTGTTGTTTTCTGTGCTTCGGCAGCAGTATCAACGGGAGCAACAGTACATGCACCCCACTCGTGATAGTTCCTGTTCCCCGTTCTTGTCCGCTTGCAATGCCAAGGTGGCCTGTGGGCTGCAAGTCAGAGGCTGCAAGCCTCGTTTGCAGAAGTCTGCGATGGCAGCACTGGAAGTGATTACAGGGGTGGCCTTGCCGGCCGATTATGTGCTGGATCTTCTTCCCGGCAATGATGAATGAGCCTAGGACTAGATTATTTTAAAGGTTCGCCAGTTCCATGATTCAAGATTTATGATTTTGTGCACTGCCATGATACCTTAGGTATTGTGAAGGTCAGAAACCACCAGGTGGACCTTGCAAGCCTCAAGACTTTCCTCGACTACACCGGCCTTGATTCGAGGCTATTTCCTCCAGCCTAGAGCTACTTATTGATAAGTATAAATTGAAGTAATATTGTTATCCTGCTTCTCCTGTTCAGGGATTTTATTTATTGTTAATTATATTATTAGTAGATCCTCAATAATCCCTCAATTTCAACCTTAAGCCCTAAACCTCGAGGTGGGAACGCAACCAGCTCCTGACACCTGCAGAGCGAAAGCTCCACGCAGGCCTATGTGCAATGGGAAGTTCATACTTGACTGTTGAACACGACAGTTGCAAAGACTTTGCAGGAGTCCGCATGTCTAAAGTGGCATGGTTCATCTTCCGAGCACCAGCTCACGACACCTTCCAGGACAGCCCCGCTGAATAGGGCAGTCTCTGCTGCCTTGAAACAGAAGCCACTGATTCTGATAGGACGAGATTCGATATGGCCGGCTGCACAAGCGACTCATTCATCGGCTGGCACAGCTGGCCGAGGGACACCTGAGCGCCGTGCTTTTGGCCACTTTGCCAACCCCGCAATGTGGAGATGTTTTGCACCCTGCCAGAAGGCCAGTCGCCAACCAGCTCTGTTGTACACCTAGCAGTTTATCCTGAGTACATGTCACACTGTGGTTTCGTTTTTATACCGAACTGCTCCAGGGATGGGCGGCGAGCCCGTGGTGAGCCGAAGCTCCAGAATGTGCTGGCAATCGAGCGATTCATGACGAGAGGCGGGGGTTTTGTCAGCTCCACACAAGATAGCAGCCTGGAGTCTTTGGAGTTGGGTGGAATCCTCCCCGCGAACTACCACAGGACCTTCGTCCCAATTTTGTGTGATCTGTGATGAGTTATTGGGGCCTGTAGCTGTTGGGTTCTGAACCACACAAAATGCACGTGCAAGGACAGCTTCGGATTTTGTCTACAGACATATTCGAAAAACTGGCGAGATGCTGTCCAAGGCTCCTTCCTGCATTCACGCAGTTGCTTCAGTAAATGCACAGCCAGACGGAGTTGTCCTCAGGAGATGGCAAAGCAGTCGCTCAAGAGCTTGGCTTTTCTGTGCGACGCATCCCCGAAAGGATGTGTTGATGCATTTCGGCTGCCCTAAGACCATGCAGTAATCTGTTTGTAAATGTGAACACATGCACCACTGCACGAGGTTTGGCTCCCTGTCGTCTCTGCGAATCAGTTTGCATCTGTGGCAACTTTGCAGAAGCTGTCGGCTTTGCTGCCAAGCACAGTTGCTGCTTCGGAGAAGATGAGAATCGCTCAAGAAGTGGCCGACTCGACTACACAGCTGCTGGTGGCGGATCGCCGCACCAAGGACCATAAACCCAAAATGAGACTAGGCTAATATGAAGATTTTTGTTGATTCCTATGCAGCTGACACGCACTGGCACAGCCCATTCATTGTACACGACGGATTAGCAGCTTGTGACAACCTTCTCAAAAGGCCCAGAATCATCAGCAGCATTCACCAAGAGAAGCTCACCGCCAGAGAGCACATCCGAGCCGTGGCCAATGTCCTGAATCACGTGGGGATATCGCTGGATGATGTATTTCCCAAGAACCCGCTGAAGCCTCTGAACCCATCTTCTGAGATTTCTACGACTTACACCCTGAGCGAGAAGACGATGCCTTTCATTACGTCTTTTGAAGACGGGGGTTCGAGATGGGATGTCCCAGATGCTGACTCCCCTCACATTCGATTGATCGTGTGCCCCGACGAGGGAAGCCCAATGTTCAGCAGCTATGTCTTCCTGGCCACCCGGAATGCTTCCATCAATTTGTGTCGCGATGAGCTGCCACTTGCTTGATTGAAGGGAATGCACTGCCGAGCGCCAGAGTACTTCCATTATCCTGCAACAGCCGAGGCACAAATTGAGCCAGTACTGCCTGCGAGTTCTGGCATCCTCGCCCATGATGAAGCGATCCTCCGATGAGAATAGAGTTCGGGCTGCTTCTCAGGATATGTGTGGTAGCTGCTAGGGACACCGTGTGCCTCAGGAATGAGTGTGCTCACTTCGTGGCTTTACAAATGCCGCAAGAGCCCCTGGAAAACCCACGGGATCGGCAGCACTCTCTGTGCTGCTGGCAAGCGATATCTTGACGTGGCCACTTGGAAGCTCTGATCCGCTACTTGTTCCATACTGCTGATGGCTGCGAATCCCAAACTGCTTCGTGCTGCCCAGGCGGCACCTGATGATGTTCTGCAGCAGCTCTTCGGCCACCACATCCTTGTTGAGACGCTTGGCTAGAAGTTCATTCCCCCACTTGCTTCACTGCCCTGTAGCCAGATCAGGAACGACATCATCCCCGAGTGCGACGAGAAGGTGAATTTCGATCGGGTTTCGGAGATTCTGGGGAAGCTTTGCAGGACAGCTTTGTTGGGTGAATCTTTCTCACCATACATGATCAAGTGAGCTCGCTCTAGGACTAGTGAACCGAATAACTAAGTAAATCAGTACAAACCCAACGAACCCATAATAATCAAATCTAAATTATAGACAATACATATGTGTATGCGACGTTATGTACATGATCCAGTGACTACTACCTCTGCAGGATCCATCAAGAGAGCTACGAGCACAAACGGTGGTGCAGCTGGGCTTTTGCCTCCCGGAGATGCCAATTTTCGGGAACATTGTTGCTGATGTTCTGGGCTGGAATGGAGGCACAATGCTTGTGTAAAGACGTCTAAGAAGGGACCACGAAGCCGTAAACATCTGATCTTGCTGCCAGACGGGCAACAACCCCTTTGCAGTGCTGGACACAGCGGGCCAAGCTGACCCGGAGAAATCGTGGGACAAAGTACTCGATTTGTGCATCAAGGCCCGAAACAATCCTTCAGCCAACCCCGAAATCAAGCTCTCAGTCTGACTCCCGCAACAGGCTTTATGTGATGAGCAGATCCACATCCTCTGGAAGTTCACCCGCGATCTGATGCAACCCTTCCGCGACTTGTGCATCGAGCTTGTGCCTCGTTTCGATTCAGTGTGCTGCCACCATGCGAATGCCAACCAGTCTAGAAATAGAAATCGTTGTCCATTATTGATCTGAACTAAGCAACAAAAGAGCAAGAAGCTCCTGGCTCTCTATGATCACGTGCTGAAGATGAACTCGAACTTCATGGAACGAACACTTAGTAGCCTGGCTGCCAAAGTGCTCTGCTCGCCCGGTCTTCACCAGCCGCCAGACATTGCAGCAGTGCTTCAGCACGAGGCAGGGCTAGGAAAGGACATTGTCTGTGGGATTAAGACTTATTATAACCTAAGTAAGTAAGTTAATTATTAATTAATTAATTACAAACAACCCAATACTAAAGCGCCTGGGGCACAACCCTAAACCCTAAACCCAGTATTCTAAGATTGTATAACCCGTTTCCAATTCCGAAGTAGCATCGAAGATTGCAGGGTACCATCGATGTAAGATTTCGGATGATAGACATATTCAGGTTTTACAACACGACCATCATGACACGAGGCCACTCGCAGCTGCAAAACCTCTCAGATAATGTGCTGGCTTGGGGATATTGGAGGCTTCCTCGCTAAGACACAAGTGTTTCTATCCCGGCCCCCCCCGCCGCCCAGACCGCAAGGCCACGCACAGACATAGAAACAGGGTAACGGAGAGAGATGCAGAGAGAGAGAGAGAGAGAGAGAGAGAGAGAGACCCAGAGAAATAAAGGGAGAGAGTGTGAGAGAGCGAGCCAGAAAGAACGAGGGAGAACGAGAGAGAAAGATAGGCGGGGATGGACAGAGAGGGAAGCCAAAACATCATAAGTATGGAAAACTACGGGAGCAACAAAACAGTCAAAAGAGATGGAGATGGAGGGAGAGGGAGAGAGACAGAGAGAGAGAGAGAGAGAGAGGGAGCGGGGAGAGGGAGACAGAGAGAGAGAGGGATGGAGGGAGCGAGAGAGAGAACGAGGGCGATCTTAACGGTCGACTCTTTTTCGTCCTAGTTGCTCGTGTGTGGAATTTTGAATAAAGAAGCCAGCCCATTTGACCACAAGATAGAACCCTGCACAACGAAGAGCGAAACACCGCATCACATGTGTGCTCAATAACGACTTGAGAAGTTTTGTCAGTGTGTGTGTGTGTGCACTATCCTATCTATCGGCCACGCTTTTCGCCACGACACCGGTGGAAAAAACAATAGGCTGCCGGGTTTCGATGCGAGCAAAGAAAGCAGGAGCAGCAGCAAAAACAGCAATTAACAACGGCCCGGCTTCGTTGCTTGATTGTGGCACAGGTCCTGCAATTCGACTTTCGCCGTTCGTCTTTGGACTACGAGGTTCTGAAGGAGCAGTTGACTGGCTTCCTGAGCTGTTGTCACGAACTCCAGGAGTACGTGCTTTACCTTCGGAGTTTTCCATGTCGGGCTGCCGCTTATTGCTCAACCGAAGCAACATCGGAAACTCGGGATGAAATTCTGAAGGCTGCTGAGGAAGAGTACGACATGATCCGGGAAATCGAGGCCACACCTTCCGGCTCCAGTGTGCTCAAGCAGCATGCTCTGCACACCACGTTTCAGGTGTACCGGGAGATCATGGCAACCATGCAGCTGCACCAGTTCAAGGATTGCAAGGCAATAGAGGACATTGTGCAAGCATGGTACCCTCGTTGGGGCCAGTCATCCAGTTTGGAGCAGGTGTTTCGAGAGCTGGAGCAGGCTACGAAAAGGGTGGGTCATGTGGGAAACTCGATGTCGAACCTCTCCTGTGTGGCTGTGCGGGCTTTGGAAAGAAGGGTTTGCTCCGGCGAACAGTGTCCTGAGACGCCGTCCTTGTGCGAAAAGGACTGGGAGGGCCAGGTGGTACGCAGCCTCAAGGACAAGATGTGGCATCCCACTTCTGCTCCTGTCTGCATCTTGAGTTCGGTTTAGCACGTTTTCATCTGGAGAGGCTTCCTGCTAAGCAGGGGGAGCTTTAGAAATGCAACAGCCAAGGTAAGAACGTGAAAATCGACGAGATCGTAAAGCCTTTTACCACCATGACGGCCTACTCTCAGACGCACCACAACTTCAACTGTGTTTTGGGGTGGAAGGAAGCGAAAAGGCCAGGCTGAAAGTATTACGTATCCCGTATCCTTTTGCTTTTGCACAGCATGAACCGAAACAAGTCTGTTTTCTCAAATCGTCTTTTTGACAGGATTGGCACGAGCCCCATCGATTCGATCGGCGCCATGTGGGTTGCTGGATGCTTCGTGGCGGGAACACTCTTTCGGCAGCACGACACTTTCTTTCTTTGCACCGGCAAAAGCCCAGCAGTCGTGCACGCCACCAAACGATATATTCATCAACACTTTTCCGTTAATGTTTAAGTAGGTCCTCATAAGCATATTATGAAACTCAAGTTTGCATATAATATAGAAGGAATACACAATGTGTTTTAAACCCAAACATGAAAACTCCCGCGAATAAATTGTTGCATGTGCGGACCCACATTCAATGAAACTCCAGCAAACCTCTGCTGAGGTGATCCGTCTGAAAGAGATTTCCTGGCAGTTTGCTGGCAAGCTGCCGCCTGAGAAGCTGGACGAGAGACGGATGCCAAAGATGATGAAAGAATTTAAAGATCCTTTCCAGGAGCAGACAGACAGCACAAAGGCTCTCGTGATGGAGAGTGGGCCGAGACACAGCTGATCATTATGACGTTTCTTTTCTATAAAAGGATTAGGGTTGTGAATTGCTGGGCTAAACTAAGAGCGATGGTAGTTTGGATGTTATGTCTGCATTGCAAGGACAATGTTGCAGCACGTGCTTTGCGGACTTCACGATGCTCCTGTGTCTAAAGCAGACAGAAGAGTAGACTGAAAGTTTAGCTTCGGGTCGGTTTAAGTCTTTCAATAAGAGGTTCCTGTGCCGGGTGTAATATGAGAGTGTATAATAATGTTAGTTAATAATACTGTAGTCATTCGAGGTAGAGATCTTTGAGTACACAGTTCACGTGAGCCCCGCTTCGATGCAGAGCAAGTGTGGTGGGCTCCTCTTTCGCAGAGGGCCCAAAGCATATTCACTGCTGGTACACCTTTTCATCTCAGATACCATCATGGGCATTACTTCGGCTGCCATGTCCGATCTCCTCACCGCCTACGAGTGCCGGATGCCGAAGAACAGCAGCAAGCATGCAAAGATCAGGAAACTGATGACATTGGCCGATGTCAAAGAAGCTCTGGGCGAGCACGGGATCGCGGAAATGGAGGCGAGGCTGCAAGAGATCGAAAAGAATCGTGCATCAAAAAAGAAGGAGAAAGAGCAGGAAACCGAAGATGCTGCAATGCTTGAAGCTGGGCTTAAGAGTAGTTCTGCTTTTGCGACGGCATAGTATAGTCAGACCATCATCTATGATTTATGTTGTCTTTGTTTCAGGATGCGAAGGCCGAAGAGGACGACCCTGCTTTGGCTGCTTGCAACCAGCTCCTCGAGGAGCTGGAGAAGGAGGAAGAGGAAGAGAAAGAGGAAGAGAAAAAAGAAGAAACCGATCCACGGCAGTGTGCAGTTCCGTAATCATTAGGCCTCTTAGTGCTTGGATTTTGTAGGTGCGCAATTAAAGCCGCAAGACTAGAATAGTAACAGGGTTAGTGGTGCAGTGATGCTGATCTGTATACGTGTGCAATTCTTCACAGTAAACAACCGTCCAAAAATAAGGATCAGAAGGAAGAGCCCCGGACAGAGGAAAGCAAGCGGGCTTCGAAGGTTTTGCTCAGCAAGACTGAGACTGTTCCGCGATGGTTGGTGGACAAGTTCCCGATTCCTGACGGCGGATGCATCCACCACACGCAGTTTCGCGACACGTCTTTGCCACTGTTCCAAGCGAAATTGCACCACGGCAAGATCTTCGAAGGGCAGAAACAAAGCTGCAGATTGGAGTTTTTCCTTTTCGTGATTTGTGCTTCGGGTCTCCAGCTCGATTCCGTTAAATAAAAGAACACAGCAGCTCAGGAACAGCATCAGTGCAAGCTACAACCCGACCCTGGACCGGGAACAGCTGAATGAACGCATCACACTTGTGAAGACAATGGCAGCACGGCAACGAAGCATGGCCCAGGCTTACTTTTTCACTTGGAGTTGGCTTTCACGTGCGGTAAAGCCAGCAGAGAAGAAGCGGAAGCGATCGCAGGCATGAAAACGAGAGTGCAGAAGTACACTAAACAAGAACGATCATGCTTGCAGTGGCTTTTGCTGCTTTTCGAAGGGGGATCGAGGACACAGCTTGCGTGTGCGAAAAGAGTCGATGCCCGAAACGGAGACAGCCGAGGCAGCATGCAAACATCTATGGAGCACGACGTATCAGCCAGCATGCGTAGGGTAACCCTTGAATTATACTACGGTGATAATAAGGAAAACCCCAAGCAGTATTGGTAGTTATTATAGTTATTATAGTTATTAAAAGTAGTATAGGTAGTTGTGAAGGCCCCTATATTAGGGCTTTGGGGTTCGGGGTTTAGGGCTGTGGGTCGAAAGCCGCATCCTCATAGGACTTTACTATGGTACCCTTCGGAATCAGTTTGTTTTTAGTGTTTTTGTTCATATAAAGCTTACGAGAATATTAAACCCATATTTCTTTTATTATGGTTCCGAGGGGAGGCTACAGTTTACAGTGAAGAACCCGAGGTCTTTCAGCATGTGTTACTGTAATGGATATGCAGACATTTTTGATTGGACTCAGCCAAGTACTTCTAGTACCAAAATGCAGTTAAGTCGTTTTTCCTGAGCAGCTTCAAGGTGCTCGCCGCCTCAACAGCATCAGTAGCAACTCTCCCGGCACAGGGTGCAAGGGTATGTTACATACATACCTGTCGTTTGGTAGCATGGTCCGGGAGGGGCAACTCCGGACGGTTCAGGTTTTGGGGTGCAGGGCCTTGCTAGGGTTTTCTCTGAATCGCAATATAATGGGGTTATGGGGCCAGGGTTTCTTAATCACTTTCCTACATTAACCTTGCTTGGGGGATCATGGGACGTAGTAAGCAGGGTTATAAGTACCTTAACTGGGGCTGTAAGTAGCTAGAAGCATAGTTACCTTATTTATGACCCTAGTTACTAAGTCCCATGATCCTCTAAATATCCCCAAGGCCCTTCTAGAACCCTTAATACCCTTATAGATCCCTTTCTAGGAACCCTTTACGGGACCCCAAGTTACTAAGTCCCATGATCCTTTAAGTAGACCCTAAACCCTAAATCCTATAGATCCCTATAAGGAGGCCCTTAAGGAAGCCTTTAAGGTTACTAAGGCCCCAGGATCCTTTAAGTAATCCCCAAACCCATATATATATATGGTAACCCCCCCCCAGGACCAACCTCCGCCATTGTCCTGCTCATTACTGTCTTCACAGCGTCATGAATAAGAGCCGAAACCACTGTAAATACCGATGGTGTTTGTGTTCCCGTACAAAGTTTGCACTCTCGACGCCTCTTGACAGACTGGTAAAAAACAGGGTCCAGTTTTATGGACACCATTTACACTCTCGGCGCGTCTTGTCGGAGTGGTAAAAGACAGAGTCCAGTTTGTGTGCCTCATCCTTTATTAATTATTGTCATCTTGTCAAAGTCTTATTCTTAGTTTCAGTCTTAAAAAATAGTGTTAACATTGGTCTTGACTTAATTTTGTTCTAAGTTTTAACCTCAATTATTGTGAGTAGTAACCTTAATATTTTTGCTAGCGTTAGCATTATTATTAGTTTTGTGTCATTACTAATTTTAGAAGTTCTAACAATGCTGCTGGTATCTGTCCAATATTACTGTTCGTTTGATTAGTGTTCCTGTTAGTGCTGATGCTGGTGTCAGTGTCAACGTCAGTGTTAGTCTTAATATTAATATGAGTATTAGTGCTCCAGTTTAATTTAATATATGTCTATAGCAGTGTTAGTGTTAGTGTTCGTGTTAGTATTCGTATTAATATTAGACGTGGGCTGGGCTTTAAAAACTTAGTCTTAGTACATTATGTGTATAAGTATTCATATGTGTATATTCAGTATATTGGTATATAAACAAAACATATATACTAAGAAAAAAATTTGGCTATACTCGTATATTGGTATATTAGTAACAATGGTCTATTAGTATATCAGGTTCTCAGTATATTAGTATATCAATTTGTTAGTATATTAGTATAATACTATAACCATACATATTGGTAAATGAAAACATTGAGTTTTTAACAATCTGATGCATTCATTTTCTTGTGCCTTATTCTGATGTATTCTTTAGTATACATTACAAAAACGATATTGACATTAATATGATGTTTGTAAATTCATATTGGTATTGATATTAATATGAGTATGTAATAATCTTTCTATATTTGTATGAGCACAAATAATTTTACTAGTTTTATGCATGTTCGTACTAGCCGAAGTATTAGTGCTCATATTAATATCAATATGGTTCTAAAGAGACTATTAATGTCGGTATTCGTACTGAGAATAAGTTTGTCAAGAACATGAGCATAAATACCCGTAGGAATATTCATACCTATGCTTGTATTGGTATTAATACTCGTATTAGCATGAGTACTAGCATTAGTACGTATCTAGGCATGACGATTCTTATATGAATATAAAAGGGGAACATGATTATTAGTATTCGTAAGAACATTAGTTTTCCTATACATTAATGCTAACTAGTATTACTATGCATATTAGTATTGGCAAGAACATTAAAGTTCGTGTTCACATCAATTCTAAAATTGGTATTGGTACAGTTTTTTCAATACTAGGAGTAGATACTAGTAGTAGAATTAAAATTAGTATGAACAAAACATGCGTTGGTATTCGTCGGAATATGAAACTTGAGGTTACTCTTCGTATGAGTTACTAGTACTACTGAAAAACATACCAATGCTGATATAAATACGAATGCTAACATTCATGTATGAGCATGTTATTATGCACGTTCGCACTAGCCTTAGTGCTAGTATTAGCATGAATATGAGTACTCCGAAAATGAGTAATTTCACGAATATGCATAGCCAATATTCATACTAGCGATAATACTAGCTATAGTCTGTATACTAGTATTCGCATCAAGACTATTCTTACAATGTACATGATTTCAAGTATTCTTGGGAACATCAGTATTCATACTAGCATTACTATCAGTTTCACCAGTAGTATTACTATAAGTATTAGTACTCGTACGAGTATTATAGTTTTCAAAGTTTTCAAAATAATATCAATATTACTACAAGTATCAGTTGCACAGACACGTCAACCGGCGACGTCGCGAGGTCGAGTTCCCTAAATTCTCTAATCACTGCTTCCATGCCTCGAATTTACAGAATGCGTGAGTTCCTGCAGACTCCCTAAATCCCTAAAGTCTTTACATACCCTAATTTCCAGCCCCATGTGTTGGTTTTAGCGCATTCCCTAACATTCCTGACTCCCAGCCAGGACCATGTGTTGGATTTAGGGAATTCCCTAAATTCCCTAATTTCCCTAAATTCCCTAAATTCCCTAATTCCCTACCCCATGTGTTGGATTTGGGGAATTCCCTATTTCCCTAAATTCCCTAAATTCCCTAAATTCCCTAAATTCCTTAAATTCCATAAATTCCCTAAATTCCTTAAATTCCTTAAATTCCCTACCCATGAACGGAAACCATTGAATCTTCTCCATTGGGGTCAGACTTAGGGAATTTAGGGAATT